AATGTTTGAGGAATCGAACACCAAGATATGCAACAATTCGACAGAAAATGATAAACGCTAATAGGACTCCAACGCACCCACCAATGCTGATATAATCCAATCCGAGCTGTTTAATTGTTGTTTCACCATTTGGTATACAAGTACTCGTTCCTGCATCGGCACAAGATAAAACCAGACCTTGCAATTCGTTGAGACTTATCCCGACGTATGTGTATTTCGCGTAGGAAAGTGCGTCGAGCCACGAGAAATATTTCGGTAAATTCGCAGGAGATAAAAAGAAACCGCCGAAGAGACGAGAGACTTCCAGAGCCATTGGTAAAACAGTGACACTCATATCAGTCGTTTTACACAGAGCAGAAATCATCAGAGCCAATGATGTTGCTGATAAAGAACAAAGAATCATAAACAGCATGAAGAGAAAGAACTTTCCTGCATCTGGTTGCAATCCAACGATAAAATAAACGACGCACGACTGAAATTTGCACAAAAAATACATTTGAGTAGAGATCGACAGTATGACTTACGAATAGGATTGGTACTGGAATTTGAATAAGTGTATCAGCCGTAATTTTCGCAGTGAAATATGCACTGGAAAGATAAGTTCCCGATGCTCGTTCACGTAACGACAAAGCACGTTCAACAGGAAATGAATTGATTACCATCAATGCACCAAATATTCCTTGATTAACCACACAAAAGAAGAGAACCGGTTGACGACGAACCGTACTCTTCTGTGTTTGACCAATTTGTAAAAATGCAGTTCCAATCAACACAGCGATGATAATCGTTTGAATGATTGATGTGATTATCACCCGAGATTCACGTAAATATTCTTGAAAATTCCGTCGCAGAAGTATACTCACTTGTTTAAACCACGTGGGATTACGTGGTAAATTACTCATTTGACCTAGACGTTTCTGAGCACCCATATTCAAATCAACTGTTATCGGAGGTTGAGCAGCAAGAATTGCGCGATCAATGGCAAGTTGTTCGTCATTCGAAACGAACGTTTTCTCATTTTCTGCTGATGAACTTTTCTTTGATGGTGTTATCACATCGAGAAGGTGATCAGCTGGATTTGTGTACAATGCACATGGAAATCCAGCGGTCTGAAATGTTTCCTAAAGAAAAAAAGTTCATTCAAGCACATCAATGAATGAGAAATATCTGTTTATTACTATGGCTTGTGCTCGAGGACCTTGATAAATAATATTTCCTGCTTTCAAGAGAATCAGTGAATCAAATAAATTGAAAATTTTCGATTGAGGTTGATGGATCGAACAGACAATTGTCACCGCTTTTTCCGGTAATTTTCCATGAGCAAGTGAATGAAGTGTTCGAAGAAGATCAAGTGCTGTGACCGAATCTAAGCCTGATGTTGGTTCATCGAGAAAAAGTAATTGTGGACGATTGAGTAATTGCATTCCTACGCATACTCGTTTCCGTTCACCACCTGAAATGCCTTTTTTCAACGTCGTACCAACGATAACATCTCGNATCGAACAGACAATTGTCACCGCTTTTTCCGGTAATTTTCCATGAGCAAGTGAATGAAGTGTTCGAAGAAGATCAAGTGCTGTGACCGAATCTAAGCCTGATGTTGGTTCATCGAGAAAAAGTAATTGTGGACGATTGAGTAATTGCATTCCTACGCATACTCGTTTCCGTTCACCACCTGAAATGCCTTTTTTCAACGTCGTACCAACGATAACATCTCGAACATGAGTTAAACCCATGTCGATCATCACATCCTCCACTCGTGTTCGTCGTTGTTTTGTTGTAAAATCTCGTGGTAAACGAAGTTCAGCTGTGTACATCAGAGTCTCTTCGACTGTCAATGAACCATTGAGTAAATCATCTTGCATGACATATCCAGCTATTCGTTTTAATTCAGCATTGTTATATGGTGCTCCGTTTAGATGAATGTCACCTTGAACGATTGTATTCACATCCAAACGACAAGCTAAGGTGTTTAATAGCGTAGATTTTCCCGAACCAGATGGACCTGAAGTTTGCGAAGAAGAAAACTGTTTTTTTATAATGAAAGAAAGGATGGTTTACCCATAACAGCCCATAGTCCACCGGTAATGGCTCCGCTGACATTGTTGAGTAAACATTTTCGTCTCGGAACATATCGATTGCATGTTTTGACTTTTTTGAAGAATTCTCTATGACTTGGCTCACGCGATGTTACTGTTAAATGTTGCCAAACAAGAATTGTACTGACACGATCGGATGACGGATCAAGTAGAGACAGTTGTCGTGCAAAACCTCCAATATGATTCGTTGGTTGATGTTGAATGAGATTCGGCATGTCACACGACATTCGGTAAATGACAAATGATGGTTTATTTGAAACGACTAGACCTTCAGATGGAATTTGAACATCACCACGTTCATCGACGTCAAGAGTGGAAAAACTGAAATTGTCCATTCGATTTATATGAGTTGTTCTTTCAACGATGGAGTAATCTGAAATATGTTTCAATTTCAAGGTCACGAAAGAGAACAAATACAGAATTGTTTAAGTTTGATCCTGTTTTATATCGAACGAAACGAATAATTTTTCTTAAAGTGCAACGAGTTTAATTGGTGTTGACGATAGAAGTGCATTCTGGTAAGCAAGCCGGTTTAGTGCTGTTTTTTTGACAAAAATAGATGTACGTATGAATAATCTTGCTTTCTTTCAACTAAACATACAATCAATAGAACCGGTTACGAATCACGCAGATGCCTTTGTAAGTTCTTACATACGGAGAAATATTTTTTCTAATGAAAAATAAATGTTATAATGCCATGTTGAGAATGACTCTCAAATAAATCGAAACATGAAAGAAATGCAAGTACTTTTTTTCGAATGCATGTCTCTCGTACCTGATCATCTACCAAAGATTCAATTAACATAAATCAAGACATACAACTCTCAATTTTTCTATGTGACAGAACAATCCAAAAGTCCACTGAAGCTAACACATCGATCTCATGCAACACTCAATTTAGGTATAATCATCATTCATGAAGTTTTGAACTGGAAACAATCGATTTGTATCAATTGTTTTAAATGGTTTTCTTTCGACTAAACAGACTTTTATCATTTGAAGCTCGAGTTCAACTGTTCATTCACGAATCTAACATTTCATCTTATTGTGATACGATCATCTTGAACGATGTGGATCATACGTCTCTCTTTCGCCTATATACACTTCACCCAGTGGAAATATTCAATTGAGTCTGATGAAAGTAGCGTCGTTTGTCTGTTAATTGAATCGATATCGTCGGTGATTAGTTGATGATCAATAACCGACTTTCATATTAATTTTCATTCAAAACAACGTCATTTGAAAGAGGTAAGCGGATTGCCTGACTCAGTGGATCTAAACATTTTTCAAATTCGAAACAATCGGTATGAATCGTCATCGCCGAAATCCAGTCCGCAGAAAATCGGGCATATGCATTTCGATTATACCAGTGATCCTGACGAAACTGAGTCAAATTTATTTAGATAAAAAAGTCAAACTGACTTCAAGAACATTTGGAATGACTAATGAAAGCATTGTCTTCTATATGTGGTCGAAAGGTGATACAGTTGATTGATCGTCCACTAAAAAATCATCCTAAACAGCGGAGAAGAGACATCGTCATAAACTTTCTGGCTTAAACGATAGCAACATTGTTTCTTACCAGACTGTTGTTCAACGATTCAGGATACTCATTTTGAACTAGAACACATGAATCAACATGAATATATGTTTGATAGATTTGATTTTGACAGACCATTATCTAACCATTTATTTACAAAATCTTTTTTGTTCCAATGAAGATCTTCGACGAATCTTGCACGAGTTCTTGGTAATGAAGATGATGATGAAGATGAATTGTTGTCGTGCTGATTTCTCCCATGATCATTGTTAGAATGTGATGATTGTAGATGATTCATTTCTTGAACGATTTTTAGTCGTTCGTCCGATTCTTTCGATTCTTCTGTGCGAATTTGATTAAGAACTTCGTTAATATACTGTAATTCTTCGAATGGGAAATATTCCTGAACAGTTTTACATTTCCACTTTTCAGGAACAAATGTCGGAATTAAAACCAAGTTAGTATTCACAGTTTTAATCGGTCCATCTGTTGCCTTTGTTCTTGCAGAAATTGATCGTCTTCCGCCATATGGTATTTTTGGAGAAACTGCCACCAGTCGTTTTAACACATATTCATGTGTTAAATGATCGAAAAGACGAACATTCGAATCGGCCACATCAGCTCCACCAAATCGCGTCATTGCTAAAACTTGTATGGTAGGTTCTGTGTTCCAGATGACACAAGGTCTTTTGGGAAGATGATCGCTAGACTTTTGCGATGACGATGATGTCGATGATGATTCAGATCGATTGTCAGTTTCTGAATCAAAATTTGATAGCCTTCCAAATAAACTGACCATACTTATTCTAGCTGTATGAATTTCACCAATTTTTGGCTGTGAATAAGTCGATAATCCTAAAGATATAATAATCACATTAAATATTTGGACAAAATCCATAGCTAGTTTACCAAGAGCAGACATTTTTCAACCGAAGAGTGAATAATTAACGAATAAAGAAAGTATCAATGAATAGGGGAAAGAAATCATCTAAACAATATATTTCCTTCCCGTTTTAGAATCGCCAATCAAAGACGACCACTCTGCCACTGTCGACATCTGCTTTTGACGAAGCGATCAAAGATAAAAATATGAGAGAAATCATACAAAAAACAAAATTTCTCACAATCGATACTTTTAATTCTTCTTGCTCTAGATTTGCAACACTGACTTTCTATCAGATTGTGAGATGGCGAATACGAATTTCTCATTAACAACATCTATACGATGACTAATTTAAAGTGTAAAGTTTCTTATCAGGAAAGATGTCGAAACTTGAATGCTTACCGAATGAAATTTTGATTGAAATTTTTGAAAAATATTTCAATGGTTTGGACATATTTTGCAAATATTTTAATAAATTTAATCAACGATTCAATTGGATATTTCTTCAATGTCGAAAATTGAATATGAATTTGATTGACAGTCGATCAGATGAATTTCGATATTGTGTCGATCATCTTTTAACAACTTATGAAAATCGAATTACACGATTAGTCTTATCGGATTGTGAAACACCTGGACAAGTCAAGTTATTTTTACAAAAGTTTCCTTCATTTCAACGATTTCAACAGTTAAATTCGCTTTATATTCATTGTACTGATCCCACAATCGATTCGAATCAATTTCAAAATGCCATTTTTTCGTTAACGAATACAAATGTTCGAAAACTCACCGTGAAAATCGCGAGTAAGACTCGATTTTCTTCCAATGAAACCTTCATTTCTGGTATATTTTCCATCAAATCTTTAAAATCTCTTTCATTATCATTCGATGGTGAGAATCCCCACTTAAATTTATCCTTCTCGACTCAATTGAACCTGGAACATTTAATTCTAATTGGAATCGAATGCCTATCGCCTACTTTCAATTCCCTTTATCGTCACAGTCCACGTCTTCGCACTCTTCACATCTCAGTTATTGCTTTACCTGTTCAACTCAACACAATTTCTCTTCAATTTGAACCGTTACTCCAACTTGAAAGTCTTGTTTTACATATAAATTATCAGTTTTATATCGATGATTTGTCGTTATATCTTTCAAATTTTCCTTCTTTAAAATCATTGCAAATCAATGGTCCAATCGAATTAATTTCTTCTAATTCTTGGCAACAATTGTTCAATCATTACTTACCCAATTTGAAGTATTTTACCTATAAAACGAATTTATCTCGTTTAAAATTCTATCAAACATTCAATGCGGAAGGTGTTGACGCATTTTCGGATCTCAAGAACGATTTCCACGTTATCTTTGGTAAACATGAATCGCACGGTTTTCATAAAAGAATCAAAGAGCGCCTGCGTCGTCGTGAAGATCATGTTCATTACTTCGATGAAAGTCATCGATCACTTCTTCAATGGTGGTGTATTCCAACTGATCAAATCGATAAGACAGTTTCACATTTATCGCTTTCAAATCAAACTTCACTTTTCTCATCGAAAATTTATTTTGATAACGTCAAAGTTTTGGAAATATTTAATTTAAATGCGGATTTAATCAGTTGGATAACCAAATCGATCAATTGTTCACGAGTTGATGAACTGACCGTTTCGTTGTGTGATGAACAACCTTCAATTCTGAATTCATTGCTTAAAATGATGACAAATGTTCGATTACTTGATATTAATTATGATTATTTATCGGAGATTTCTGAAGAAACTTGTCCTCATTTGAAATGTCTCGACATCTCAGATGAAATCCATCGATTTCACGAAGAAGATCTCATTCGAATTGCTCGACTCTTTCCAACTCTTGAACATTTACTGATCAATACCAATGATTTATTTAACGTTCCATTGATAAATGAACATTTTCATCATCTTCGTACTTTAACTTTTCGAATTCCAGAAAAATATTTTCATCGATTAGCAGATTTCAAAGAAGATTCTCAAATTCCATTTCTCTACCAAATTGAATTAAATTGGATCAAAATCTGGATCGATCAATCGACATTTGACAAATCTTTTTGGCAAAATTTTTCTTTCAAAAATTGATTTTCACTATATAAATTTACAAAAAAATGTCACTTTCATTGAACATTGACGAGAAGTCCACCAGGATAACATTGAAATTGATCTAATCGATAACATTTCGATCCACACGGATAGAAATCTTTTTCACATTTCGTCTCGAGAATTTTCAACGAATCTCGCGGAATATGAATGGCAATTTCCGCAGTCATCAATCCATTTCTATGAAATAAATTTGGAAAAGGTACACTGTAATATCCATCAACATTAACAAATTGACAAATTGTATCAACCATTATTCTATCCAAAGCTGTTGTAAAACCCACTCGATTTAAATCTTGTTTTCTTCCACCAAACGTTGTATTTCTTGATTTTAAAATAGTTGGTCTTTGATTGATGACGAACCAATCTTCTGGATGACAAGATAGTTTTTTGATTTCATCTTCTGGATGATAAGAATAATTATTTGTGATCACATCGCCGTAATATCGAAGTAATTCTAATTGATCTTTCCACGTGATTTCATATCCGATGGTTAATTGAAGAATTGTTTGTTGAAATACCAATTGATCGATTTCTTTTTGAAGATATCTTTGTGTTTTCATCGATTTATTCGCAGAATCTTTCTTTTGAAGAAGTGACACTAATTGTTGATTGATTTTCGACCAAATGATATCCCAATTGTTTCGATTTGCTAAATCGAACAACTTTAATTTCTTAATCACTTGGAAACTCATCAAATTTCCATAACCCAATCGAACGTATTGTTCAGCTCCGTCCAAATTCGACAGCCAAGCATTTCTCGCTGCGTAAATATTCATCACATCGGTTTGACTCGGAACACCGGACGATGGAAATTGAAGTGCTTTGTAAAGAACAGTACCGATCGGTAGTTCAATTATTTCTAAATCATGTTCGGTGACACGTGAAATGTTCGGTAAAACTTCGGGGAGATTTCCAATGTCGATGACTTGGATATCGGATTCATTGATTTGTAGAAATGGAGAACGATTAAATGGACCAAATGTTCGATTATCTCGTGATAAAATGGGTATTGAATGGAATTGAACGACGCAACTGATGATCAGAATGAACAGTTGTCTCCATGCGATCATTCTAAGTGATAAGAAAAACACGTTGTTCGTCAATCGAATCTATCGAGGGATGAAAGTGAACTATTTATTATAAGAGAAACGAAAGAAAATTCGTCCAATGACACATAGACATGATAAAATTGGGTCTTTTTCAAGAATTTATTTGACAACAACGAATGGACAAAATTCACAGGACAAGGAAATGAATCTATCGATTCGGAAAGAATATTGATTGTATAAGAACAAAGAATTCTCGACGAAACATAGTTGATGTTAATGTATAAATATAAAACGATAATGCGGAAAATAAAAGGGCGAATGTTCCCGTAAGAAAACTAAGAAAACGCTCGAAAAACATTTGATCGATGGTTTTATTTGTATTATTTAATGTTGTGATGAAATAAGCATTATAAATTAACTACGGTGTGATGATCACAACAAAAATTATGACTTGTGCGAATAACATTCGAAGAGCTTGTTGATCACGTTTACGTCGAACTTCATCTTCGTGATTCATCGTATGTACTGGCTGATTTTCAAGAATTTGACGACGTTTTTGTTTTTCTAAAAGATTCTTTCGAATCAACAAAGTACAACTAATCATCACAATCAATGGAATTATTCCCGTGTTAATCATTAAAACAATTACATTGTAAACTGAACCGATATAATTGTTAAATATATTACAATTCCGTGATTTGATATCGTATAAAACAAGAATATGAATTGGAAAGATTAATGCGATTAGAATAATAAGGAAAATAACTCGATGAGCTGTTTGAACATTTGCTAAATTTCTTAAACGAATATTTCGTGATGAAAGTGCATAACGATCTAAACATGCAGCACTTAATATCCAACGTGACATAATCGAGGTCGAATTGAGAATATAAAACCATAATTTACAAAATGATATCGAATAAATTATTGAAAAATCGTAATATGATGCATAAAGACTTGTACAAGCAGAAAAACTCAATTGAATGAACATCACAACCGACGATGCCAGAAAATCTATACGAAAACACAAACCAAATTGGATATTTTTGTCGGAGTGTCGTATGTGCTCATCATGTCTCGACGTTTCAATGCTCCGTCCTTGTACTTACATGCAGAACAAGACACACTGCGAAATTGTCGTCGAGAAAAGAGTAATATGTTGAGAAAACATCCAGTTACACCGAAAATGAGAAAGAGTAAAGCGAAGCCAAATGAAGTTTTTTGTTGAATTAATGATAATGTTTGACTTAGAGAAGAAGGAATTGATGAAGACATACTCATTGATGATGCTTTCAAGATGAAATTGTATTTGAGAAAAATGAAATTACAGTGATGATTTAGAAGAATTCTTAGATTTAAAATTAAGACGTAATTGTCAAGAAAAATCCAAATGATGAGAGTTGCTTCTTTAAAAAGAATATTAAGATGAGAAAGTCATGTCGACAACAAATAAATCTTTTCATTGTTCTTATTAATCTTGTTTCGTCGTTTAAGACAAGTTCTTTTTAACTTTAATTATTCAGAAATCAAATTCACATTTCTTCTTTTATGATATAAGTAAATGTACCTAACGAACATCTTATATATCTGCATTTTATTATTCATCCAGTGCGGAAAAACAGACGAAGACTTTTCTCGATTTGAAAAGTGAAATCAGTTGCCATGTTAGGTAGCTTTTCACAGTCAATTCTTCAACGAGAGCATCAGAAGATATTGGTCAGAGTTGTGTACCATATCCTTTCATTCACTCTCATTATCTTTAAATAGAAAACTGAGAATTATCTCACGAGACAATATGATTTTCTTCACTTTTCAAAAAGGTCAGAGTCTTTATGCGATTAATGGTACTTTCTACGGTTTGAATATGAGGATGGTCAGGAGGTAAAGAGTGCTGAAAGATTTGTATAGAACCTTGATAGTATGAAGATGCCTTTGAATGTTCACCCATATCGTAATATACATTTGCTATGTTGTACAATGATAATCCAATACTAGGATGATTCGAAGGAAGAATTTTCTCTTGTATTTCTAGCGCTTTTTCATAAAATGATAATGCTTTTGCATAGTCACCCATCCTGTAGTACACAGTACCTATATTATTGTATGAAGAAGCGAAGTCAGGATGGTTCGATGGAAGAGAGTTTGATTGTATGGACAACGATCTTTCATAATATAATAATGCTTTTGAATAATCGCCCATACTATCATAAGAATTACCGATATTATTGTACGATGATGCTAAAGCAGGATGAATTGACGGAAGACTTTGCTGTTGTATACTTAATGCTATCTCATAATATTCGAGTGCTTTGCGATAATCTCCCATGCTATTATAAATATTGCCAATATTGTTATACGATGAAGCTTGATGGGGATGATTTGAAGGTAGACTTTGTTGAAAAATCGATAGCCCTTTTTCTAAAAAGGAAAGTGCTTTGGGATAATCTCCCATGTTCTCATAAATTTTTCCGATGTTACTATACGACAAAGCCAAATCGGGATGACTTGACGGAAGACTTTGCTTTTGTATACTTAATGCTTTCTCATAATATTCGAGTGCTTTCGTATATTCACCCATGTTTTCATGCGTAGCGCCAATATTATTGTATGATGAGGCTAAATACGCATGATCAGCAGGAAGAGTTTTTTGAAAAATCTCCAATCCTTTTTCATAGAAGGAAAGCGATTTAGAATAGTGTCCCATGCTGTCATGCGTACTGCCTATGTTGCTGTATAACATTGCCAAATTAAGATGAGTTGGATGAAGTGTTTCTTGTTGGATTTTCAGTGCTTTTTCATAATATAAAAGCGCTTTAGAATATTCGTTGGTTTCATCATATATTTTAGCGATATTGTTCAACGATAAAGCTAAGTCAGGATGATTTGGTGGAAGAGATTGTTGTCGTATTGAAAGTGCTTTTTCATAGTATGAAAGTGCTTTTGAATAATCACCCATTTTATAATATACACAGCCCAGATTGTTATATGTTGCAGCTAAATCAGGATGACTCGAAGGAAGAGACTGCTGTCGAATTGCCAACGCTTTTTCGGAATATGAAATTGTCTGTAAATAGTCTCCCAAGTCGCCCAAAACATTACCGAGATTATCGTATGTGGAAGCTAAGTCAGGATGATTTGATGGCAGATACTTTTCTTGGATGTTTAAAGCTTTTTCATAACACAAACGAGCTCTCTTATGGTTGCCGATACTTCGATATACCAAACCAACATTCACATAATAGATTGCAAATTCAATATGATCAGGTTCGAGATGTTTCTGCTTAATTTCGAGAACTTTGTCATAATATTTCAGTGCATGTGAATAATCACCCATGCTAAAATAAACTTGAGCGATGTCATTGTATAGAGCACTAAACCATAAAGGATCGGATGATAGTTTCCGATGTGCAATTTCTAATGCTTTGCCCTCCAATTTTAGAGTTTGACTAAATTCACCTTGTGTATGCTTGATTGAACCAAGTCGATGGTATAATGACATTTTTTCCAGTTCATTTGATGTTTTTTCAAGAAGATTCATATAAATTTGTTCGGATTTGCCGATTTCACCTAATCTGGTAAGCAGCACCCCCAGTCGATACAATGGTTCTTCTTCCGATGCCTCGTTTTCCAAACTTCTTTTAAGAAGTTCTACTTCTGTATCTTTATCATCTGTTAATCTTAAACTAATTTCCCAAATGTTTTCAGTCTCATGTATGTTTTTAATTTCATCAATACGAAAGACACTATTCATTGAAAAGAGTATTTCATCTTCTGATTCAAAAAAACTCAAATGTCGTATACTCGCAAAAGGAACAGCATCTAGTGATGCATCAATACTCATTGTAAAGAGCACACCTATTGTGTCTTGAATATGAACACTACTTTCAGCATATACGAAAGCTACATTTCGATCTAGGCTTGTCGACAGAAAACTGTTGAAAGACATTAAACCTTGCGAACTTCGTGTTAATGTTTCGAAATCTTTCGTTGATAAAGATTGTCCTCGATATACTCTGAATTTTTCATTATTAATCATTTGTTCTGAATGTAGTTGACTAATTTGACGATGAAGATCTTGTAGAAAAAATCCCATTTTGAGAATTACATCGACATCGAGTTTTCGTAACGCTCGGTTAAGCATTGAATGTAAAAAATATGACGAAGTATACCATTGGATCGATGCATCTGGTTCATAAGCCTTTTGAAATTTATCGATATTCTTTAATATGCTCTGATTATGAGCGAATGCATCGCGACAATAAGTTACGAATTCAATTCTGTGACCTTCATTAAAGTCAAGGGTAAGTATGATTTCTTTTAATATTTGTAAATACATAAACGATGGATTAAGTTGGTTTGCCTGCCGTTCGGGTAAATTTTCTTCTCTCAGAAAGCTGATTGACATGGCACTTTGATCACATAATCGCGTTGCCTGTTTGAGTGATTCATACATTGAGGCAATATCTGTGAAAACACCTTTAACTTTCATCCAACGCGTTGCCCAGTGGTTATGAAAAGTCTTCCGGTAACAAAATATATAAATCGAATCGAGTTGAGGAATATCATGAATAGAAGGTGTAATTTGTTGACCGAGTGAACCAGATGTTATCAGTATTACTTTCTCATCATTGGCATCAGTGATAAAATTGATGCATTCATCAATATCTGCAAATGTATACAAAGAATTAACAATATCCTGTAATCTTATAATTGAATTAAAGATATCATTGTTTGGTTGATTGATTGCAGGATCTAACCAGACAATAAAGAAATTTTGCAATACACGTCGTCTCAATGGTTTATCAAGTATTTGTGTTGTGGGTGCTGTTGTTAATGGCAAAACGTCATCTGAAACACCTCACAAAATCAATATGATATTCTTTTGTTTCAAGCTGAGTTCTGGCTCGTACTTACCATTCGTTTGCTTGTCGTTCAATCGAAGATCTTTAATAAAAAAAAGAAATTCTTCAGTGAAAACAATGCGAAAAAATCCTGCCTACCTGAGGTCGTGAGAACGCGGCTTCCCTGCCCAGTAGGAACTAGAAACGAATGAATTGATAGTTGAAATTCAAATTCTTTGTCAATTCTTACTCGGTTGAATAAAATTCGACAGACCGAAAGTTTCCCATATCAAATTTCCTTGTCTGTCAACTATTACACACGCCAATCTTGGAATATCAGGTAAATGTTCAGCAAAATGCAAACGACGAGCTACAGTTGAATGAAGTTTATGAAACACGTCATTTTCTCGTTTAATGAATTCAGCTCGAAGATTATTGCACATTCTTAACGGTAATCTAAATTAAGATATGAAATTGGTAACTTTATAGAAATAGACAAAGTATTTACTTATAACTGTCATTCTGTGTTTTCCCTGATGGTTCAATTTCAATACGTAATGGATTAAAAGCGATTGTATCTGAATCATTACCGTCAGGTAAAAAACTTTTCTTTTGATGTAAACGCCAGATAATATGATTTTCTTCACATTCTTCGACAACAAAGGCGACAGCTATTCTGACTGGATCTTCTTGAATATACTTCTTTGGAATCTTAAGATTGAATAAAGGTTCATTTTCAGAAGTAAATGTTAAAATCTCACTCTTATTTCAGGTAGAATCGATGCATATCTTCCGTTAGTTAAATCTTTGATTCCTTGAACACGTCGAATATTAGTGAAAGTTGTTGCTTGTTGCATTTCATTCAGATCGTTTGATGAATATGAATCTATTTCATATGGAACAACATCACGCACAAATGTTATATGATCAACTGAAGAAAAATCATCGATTAAAGTCAAATCATCACTTTCGTCCATCCTTGTTGGATCAAGAATTGCTGACTCGATTTCAGCACTTGCCGCGTCGGACATTAATTTATCTATGACATCAATAGGTAATGCATTTCCCACTGATGCATTTGGTGACAATGGTAAATCATCTAGTATGGGAAATAATCCTATGATTGAAAAGAACTTTTAGCCAAATTTACCTGATGAATTCATTCTTTTTTCAGTGTCATTTATTGTTGAGAATGATACTAGAGCGTTCAGTTTGCTTTTCGGTANCTCAGAATGGATTTAGACCGATCACCCGCCTCATTGCAAGAAGTTTATAAAAAAGTGTCACAAAGAACCGGTTTTCTCGAATTTAAATTGCAAATAAAGGATGACCTTCTTGACTTCGTCACTTTGGATGAAATTCATTTCACCAGTTTTCGACCATTTGATATGATTCAACAGCTTCAGAATTTCGGACCTCAACCAACAACAGAACGACCTTTCTTGGAATTGAAACTTGTGAATATATCCGGTAAAGATCGATTGGTAACAGGATAACCATACTCTATGAGATTTATATAGATGAACAAATATCAAAACTGAATGCTTCGTCAATCGTCTACGATCATCCGGAACGTAAGTAATCAAGGGCGGGCGATGGTGTGAAAGTTGGTTTAAAGAATGCTGATGCATTCACCTATGCCAATATAAAATATTTTTCTAATACTTGATTTGCTTCGATTTTGTTTGTTTTCTTTTTCAGAAAATTCGGATTCAGATCAACCTGACGATGAGCAGCCAAAGTCATCGTCTGAAGTTGATTGTCACCCTATATGTGCACCTCATCCTGTCAGACTGAATAAAAAGTCCGGCATAGTGTTTACAACTGATATAAATATGACATTACGTGATGATTATCAAGATCAACCAACGAAAAAGAAGTCTGGAAAGAAAAAAGTCTCCCTGGTGAGGATTCAAGGTGATAAAAGTCACCTGAAAGGAAAGGCGAAACAACAATCTATTCTTCCAAAAATTCGAGTAAGTTTCCCGAATCTCTTAATGAAAAATTGAATTCGAACTCATTATTTCAAGGTTGCTAAAAGATTAGTTCCGAAGACATCGAAACTTAATTTAAAATTCTTTCTTGCAGAAGAAATCTGTGAAAATGGAGTTCGTACTCTTTATCACCATTCGACTCATGAGTTCTTCGAAAAGGAGAACAATAAAACAATTAATTTGGGCCAAATAAATAAGTAAATGATAAAGATGAAATCACATTTGTTTATATTTGAATGTAAATCATTAATATTTCTTTTGCAGAAATACTCCAAGGAAAACCAGTGTTGATATTCCGTTCAATACGAAAATGCTCAACGCAAAGGGAGCCAAGTAATCTCGTTCTTTTTTATTCTCAACTACATTCGTTGATCTAGGATCGAACTGAGACCAAAGGTTGTTATTCATGCTAAATTACATTCCAATGAAAACAAGCGTCTCTTGTGCCAATTAGAAGATCAATATCAAAATGATATGAATTATACAGTTACACGGGTGATCATTGTACCTGATTATGATGGAAATTTACAATGGGATGAACTCGCTCTATCTGCCGCCACTGTATTTTGTAGTAAGGCTTTTTCAATTGATTCTGTTTGAAACCATACGAATACTTTTTAGAAGGAAAAGATCAAATTCCTACTATTGATGCCATCGATGAGTTCGGAGACAAAATCGAACGCATTCCTAAGCTGGAACCCCGGAAAGCAGATAAAAATAGTACAAACTTCGAGTTTTGCTCTTTGCATCTGTATTTGCTTCTTTTTTTCAGCGAAGACGAAATCAATGTGCAATTCAACTGCTGATAAAACTACAATACCTGGAGAATGTGCATCACGAGAAATAATAACAAATGGTAGTAACGAAATGGCTGAATGTGAACTAGCAAATGATTATGCCCGAGAAGAAAGTGTTTCACCAACTAGAAACTTGCTTCATGACATATCTGGTTTAAATACACCATCAACGGTTCTTTACTTGGTGAGTTGAATTGTGGCTTCGTGTGACTTTTGAGTAACTAGTTGTGTAGTTGTAAAGAGTCGGTTTGTGACTTGAGTTTCAAGGTGTTAGTGAAGAAAACGGATTTCCCAACGATTTTACGTTGGAGGTTTCATTGCAGAAGATCGTAAAACAAAAAGAGAGATTCAAGTGTCTCAGACGGATACAGATTCTGAAAATGCTAATCCCACAAAGAAAAAACATCAGAACTGGGAAAGAATAGATGTGGTTTCGTTGCTTTTGACATCGAATTATTTTGTATCACCCTCAACTTTGATACATTGTCTTGGCAATAATTTATATCGATCTGTGTTCTTTTAGGTGCAAACAACAACACCCAACCTCCAAAATCCTTCACCTGCGCTGCATAATTGGCCAGTAGACACTGCCGATGGTAGGGAAATTGTGTATACTATGGATGGAAATTCCCCAATTGTGATCAATTTTGACGTCCGTTTCCTTTTTATTCGTTGAAGATAAGAACTCTCGCATTTTACATGTTTTAGGAACTCTTCCCCGATCTTGGCTATCAAGAAAGCTCACTCAATCTCTTTCAGTCGAATTCTGAAATGACCCAGCAATTTTTGGACAACCTGAATCCGGATCGGGACAAAGAGGGAACTAAAACTACTCCTCCAATGAGCGAACCTGAACCACCTGACAAATAGTCTTCCTCTTCTTTTCATAAAAAACGAGTCTTAGCACAAGAAATCGCTTTGTCTTACTCGTATGTCCACCCTTTTTTATTAACAGAAAATAAAATAATATGCAAAACGAAAAATTCTCTACATACGGAATGATCAAAAAGGAATCAGAATTGAGAACACACGATTTCTACGAGATAGAGCTAAACGATTCCTTCAACGAACGTTATTTCTCTTTAAATTATTGATAGGTTGATATTTTCTAGATTACAAATCAGTGTCACGGATATGTATCTCAGTTAGACAAAACTGTACTAATTGACTTAGAATATAAATGAATAGTAAACGAAATCTTCTTATACCATTGATATGTTTAATGTCATGAGGCAATCGAAGTTGTTTTTGAGTTAACTGATGAACAAGAAAGAGTTGATGTTGTGTAAGACATCGTCGAAAATGTCTGTTAATAAGTCAATAATGATATCTCATTGTTGCAAATGAGACAGGTGAAAAAAAGTTTTCAGGACAAAAATCGAATTGATTTAGTCCCCTTGCATCGATGTTGCGATTCAATGACATGACATCAGCTATCACCACCGTCTTTTTCGGTATACGTATACCACTGATTGTGATCTCTTGACTTGACTATTCAGGAACGTTGACATTCAATAAGTACTCGATCAACATATTTGACATTGTTCAAAAATTCTAAGATAAAATCGACGATTATACAAAGAGATCTTTTCTAAGTTGATGTTGAATATTTGGGTACGTCGCTAGTAACGATAGCGTGTACATATATGTTTCAGCTATACCATCGTTCGGTGATAATAGATCTTCAACAGTGGTATCAGTTGAATCATCGAAAATGATTGAAAGATTCAGATCGTGTGCATAATGAGATAGAAGAGAGATATTTCCTTCGACATCACTTCGACGATAAATATCGATGCATTAAAAGCAAAACGAATCTTTTCTTTTTTGAATAGACTAATCGCACGAATTCATCGTTAAGGCTCCGAAAAACTTCAATTACTAAAAGTATCTCTTTGAAACTTTCATTTGAACTTTTATGCAAAATACTCAGCTAGCCACGCACTTAATTTTTTATTTGGTTTAGCTCGACAACCAGGTTGAACAATCGACAATATTTGTATTCTTCTTTCAGTAATAATATTTTCCTTTCCAATTTTATTATGATAGATTAGAAAAATAAGTTTGGAAAAGCAACTGAAAGCACTTTGTCAATCAAATAATATATCAAGACCAATGTTTTTGTAGTTGATACTATTGTTTTTCTTTAATTGAAGTCAATACCAGATTGTAGTTGTAAAACTTTTTCATATTGCTCGATGTTATATAATAGTATTTGTGCCTGTTGATCAGGAGACAAAGCATAATTCCGATAAATATCAACAGCTTTTTCCAAATATCGAATTGATTCTTCATATTTCTTCATCTTACCGTAAGTAAATCCAATTGCCTTGTAAATATTAGCTAATGATAAATGATTCTCACCCACACACTTCTCTTTAAGAGTCACAGATTTTTCTAAACATTGAAGTGCTTTCTCATACTTCCCCGTTTGGCAATACACTACATCAAGATTATTATAACTAGTAGCTAAATCAAGATGATCATCAGAGAAACGTACCTCGTAAATATCAAGTGCTTTTTCATAATAGAGCGAGGCTTGCATAAAGACTTTTTGTTTCACATATACTTCACCAAAACTACTGTAAGCCAATGCTAATAATTCATGATCTTCGGGCAATGTTTGCTGAAGAATCTTGTGTGCTTTTTCCAAGTATAACATTGCGTTCGAATAATCACCCTGCTCTGGATATATTTTGCCTAAATTGAAACAGATGGGCGCAAAATGAGGATGATTGATAGGTGCCTTTTTTTCGTGAATATGAAGTGCTTTTCGACAATAAATCATTGCTTCTTCAACGTTTCCAATATAGTTGGACGTTACGGCGAAAGAATTGTAAGCATTCGCTAATATCGGATGGTTGTCTGGAAGAACTTTCTCCAAAATGTCAATTGCTATTTTTTTATGGGTCAATGCCTCAGTATGATCTTCTAACTTAGCATAGCATGTACCGACATTCAGATGAAGATTAGCTAAATTTATATGATTTGGAGCAAGAATATTTTTAGAAGTGGTAAGTGCTTGATTGAATTTAGATAATGCCTCGTCATATTTCCCCATATGATAATAAACCATGCCAATGTCGTTGTAATGAGCATACAGATCAGAATCATCAAGTGGACGCAATTCCTTTTGCATACTTAATGATTTTTCAAGAAAGATCAAGGCATCCGAATAATTTCCAGTTTCGCAATATAATGCGCCAACCTGCTTATAATAAATTCTGAAAAAGCTATCAGTTTCAGAACATCTTGCGTTTATCACCCTGGAAAGGGCTTTTGCATAATATTCGAAAGCTGTATCATATTTACCCAGTCTGTCATTGATCCGTCCTAAATTCATATAACAATATACTTCGTCAATTAATAGCCACGACTTATCAAGTAAATCAAGATAAAATTTTTCTGCTGTATCATATTGTCCAATCCATAATAATAATGTTCGAAGGTCTTCCTTTCTCGGAAGAGTGGGCATTTCAATATCCGTAACTATTTGATTGAATAGTTGACGCAATTCTGGGTCATCATCAGCCGTGAGCGTTAATTGAACTTCATAGACTTGTTGACTTTCATCTAAACACTTAATATCTTCTATGCGAAATACACTGTGCATTGAAAATAGAACCTCGGCTTCCTCTGGATAATTGCTTTCCCTCTCGATGTTGGCAAATGGTGTTGATTTGATCTTTGGATCAACTTTAATTACAAATAGAACACCAACCTTTCCCTGACTTCGTGAATTGCTTTCGGCATACATGTCGCCAACATCTCTATTACTACTTGTTGATAAGAAACAATTAAAAGACATAAGTCGTCCTTTGTTCGTCTTCAATTTTTCAAAATCATTGAACGACAGTCCTTGACCACGGTAAAAAGAAAGGTGTTCATCAACAGATTTGGAAATATATTCCTTATGACGTTGTTCGATTTGATAATGAAGATCGCGAATGAAAAACCCCATATTGATAATAACATCTCCTTCTAATAAACGAAGAGCACGATTGACCATACCAAAGACGAATGTCGATTTACTGTAATACCAAATAGCTTTATTAGGGCAATACTCTTTTTCAAATTCAGTAATCGATTCTAACTCTTCCGATTTGTCAGCGTATATTTCTCGATAGTACGCGACGAGCGTATTGAGAGATTGTGAATCATGATTCATTTCAAGTAAAACCTTCTTGAACAATCCAGTATACATAAATGTAGGTTCCAATCGATTTTTATTAGAGTCCGATTCATTTTGATCCGTACTTTGAAATGAGATCGAAACATTATTTTCATTGGCTTGTCTAACAATCTTGGAAAGAGATTCAACAAGAGGTCTAATATTGTCATAGACACCATTGATTTTGTTCCATTGTTCATCATAGGTTGAATTATAGTACCGATCAAATAAATAGAATCGACCTGTGGTAAAATATGAATCTTTGGAATAAGATTTTCTTCGTGAGAACCAGAAATAACAAAAATAACTTTTTCATTGTCCAGTTGGTTCATAAACTGTAAACAAATACCCATGTCGTTGAATAAATCGACTTCACTAACTTTATTTTGTAACTGCGTCAATGTGTTTTGGAAATCTTCATTCTCTTCATTAAAATCTTTTATCAAAATAGACAATTAAGGAGTTTCCCAGAACAGGTCGTATGAGATGAATTGGATTGAGTTGTTGTGCTCGGCAAGTTAGAATCTGACTGAAATCATCAGATTGAAGTTCACAAGTGGATTTTTCCATATGTGTGTTTTGGTGGTATCTAAAGAAAATTTCATTCAATATATGTCAATAGATTAACTAAAATTAGTTATGATAACAGGCGACGAAACCACTTGGATTGAAGAGGCTGATAATCGATGATGTTTTCGAAAGAACTTCAACAGTATCACGAGAAAAATAATGTCATGTTGTGTCTCTCTGCGCAATAAATCTATGTCCAGAAAGATAGAACGAGAGAAAGAGAAAAACAAAAGAACGTATGATACGAATACATATCCTCATATATTTATATTTGATAATTACTGATGGAAGAAGTATTTGCGTTTATTCTTTCCAACCTAACTTTCACATATAAAAAGTACGCAATTTTGCATGTTGCCGTAAGACAGACAGAGAGAGATGGGTGATTGAAAGAGAAAAACGAAGAAAATGAATAGAACGATATAGTTACATATCATTTCAAAATGCACGAATTAAGGAATCAAAGAGTGAAAAGAACGCGATGGATAAATGGTCCTGTCTTATAACAAAAGATGAAAGTCCGACGTACAGAAAGGAAAAAAAGAACACAGTATATGTCTTCATGTGATAAGTTATTTTTAAACATAAATATAAAAAGAAAAATGCTGATCTGTCTATTTCTTCATTATATATTTAGTTATTGTAATACCTGTGATCACGTGAAATCAGAAAAAGCTAAGACTATATTCGAGTATTTTTCGTTCAGGTACATCGGAGAACTTGTGTAGAAATTAGAACTTAATTCTTTATCAAATGATATAATTGTTGAAGTAGGTCACCTACTGGAAAATATCGTCACCTTCATACTCAGATCCTCATTGTGACGATTTTGATGGGATAGATGTGCGTGCTGATGGAATCACCTCTTCTTATTTCTTTCTACCGAAAATTACATCGTTCTAATGCAGAACATACGCCTATAAATTCGTATAATAAAAAGAACAAAAGGTAGTGTAAAAATACATCCATATGTAGGAATGGACGGAGCTATAGACCAGACTCGGATTCGGCGCAAGCGTACTTATATGGAATAAAAATGTTAACAAACGAAATGTGCTTTTCGAAAACAATTGCCAGTATATGGAAGAATATAAGCATATCCTTGATATTGTTTTTTTCCAACGTCTATGTTGGAAACTAGACACATACCAAAATATTTTCTTCTGTGTTCTTGGTAAATACCTAAAAGACTTGCACTTGGGCAGTAGAAGCAGAGCAGTCTTTGTTGGCATATTTTCAGCTGAAAATGCACAAAAATATATTAGAACATCAATTGGCTCATTAGAACTTTTGAATGGCGGATCATAGAGCGAGGATGAGTGTCGTCTATGTATTTGTCGTTATCTTTATTCTTACACAAATTTTCCAGACATGCTGATAAATCAGAAGTGTCGTTAGTACACTTTTAGATTTTTCGTATTGTTCTTTCTTGCGATAGTGCATTTTATTGTTGACAAAAGCAGAGAGAGCAACGGTTTTTTCAAGAAAGATGCAGAAAATAAAAATATTAAGAGAGAAAAGACAAATAACAGCAGCAAAATCATACTGAAATGGTAGAATTGTTGACGTTGATCCTATAGAATATCGTTATGGAAGGTGCATGACGGTTATCCACCTTTATGTGCTCAGAACTTCGGCACCAATCTAACGCCGTGGTAGTCAATCATCTACTATTGACATTGTGATTGTCACCATAGTAGAACTTCGAATTCGGAAAAGAAATCAACCTAAAAATAATGATAAAGAAGTTCGTTTCACGTTCCATCACCAGTTATTTATATCATTCGATCGGGAAGACATGTATACTGTCGGCATCGCTTTGTTCTCGCTGACACTTTCTTCTTTTCTCAAATCGTCAATTACACTTTTTGGTCCACTCATTGATTTAATCAATCTGTTATTCATCTATCAGAGAATTCTAAGCCTTCAGTATAGTGCATACACCGAACTTATTGCTAATTAAGCGTCATTATTACATGAATATGCTTTCATAAAACCTCCTGCGAGTTTTCTTGCATTCTTGATTATCTGTTTGTTATGTGTTGCTTTATCTGTGCTCATCTTAAAACAGAAATTCAGATCAAATAGTGGTTATCAGTTTCCCAAATGCCCGTTGATCCAAGCAACGTATTAGAATTTTTACTTTATGCTCTCTCCATACACAAGCTAAAGCAATCCAAAATATTTCGAATTCATTCACTGTATGGTATATCTTATTCTACCTATTCATACTTACCTTAATTACCTTATTTTTCATGTTCTGCTGCATTGAAAATCCTTCTCCGGCGATGTCTCAATTCAAATTAAATACACTGAAGGCAAAACTTGTGTTTTTCGTAACTGGCACCAGGCACACTCATATCGACTCTTAGTATAGCTTTATCTCTTATTTATTTTGCAGATGCTACGTTTCATGCCAAACAAGCAGAGACACATGGAAGTCTTGAATTTGTATGATTTTTCACCGGCAAAGATCGTCGTTCATTATTACCTTGGCGACGAAATACAAATAGCAATCAACCATCGAACGGAAGATCTTTGCCACAACTCGACAGAGACACTTTACTAGAAGAGTAATATATCAAGTATACAACAACTACTTCTAATCATAATCTTTCATCTCTTAGTTCTGCAGTAATTCGTTATAGTGGCAATGATAGACTCTGAATGAAGAAACAAAAGTTCGGTGTTTATATTCCAAAACATCGAAGTACAGTGCGAGTAAAACGTTGAAGAATTAAAACGAATTGTTGTCGAAGTATAATCGATGTTAATGTATATGTAAGAAATGTTGTCGAAAATTGCAATAGAAAAACAAAAAAGACAAATGAATTAAGAATTTCTTACTGCACTGAAGAGATAAAGCGGATGAATCGTAACTCCATAAACAAAAACTTCAATAGCTTGTTGATTTGAACTTTTCACTTGTTTATTTGTGATGAAATCATAAAGAACATAACCAACAAAAGCAAGATTTAAGATTGCAAATGTCAAACTTTGAACTAAAATTAATCGAAGAAATTGCATATCCATCGATTGATTCGGTTTCATTTGTTTAGGTTGTAAAACATTTGAAACTATTGATTCGGTTTGAATTCGACGTCGACTTCGACGAATATTCACAAGAATCAATAAACTACTGAAAATCATTATCAATAACGGTATAATGACACTCAGTACATTATAAATACTAAAGAAAACACCATAAGTGATGTTCAACAACGCATAACATCGATTCATTTTGATATCAAAACCAATCGCAGCATGTAAACTGAAGATCACCGTGAGACATGTTACAACGATCGCCACACGTCGTGCATTTTGAGGAGAACTTCGTCGTCGAATTGACTCATTTGCTGATGTGACCATCCATCGATCAATTGAGATCAAACAAACAAAAACTCGATTAAGTAACAAACCAAAATTAGCAAAATAGAGTCGCCATTTACAAAATACAATCGATGTGATTTCTAAATTAAGATTTGCTAAGGCAAGTAAACTTCGAGCTAAACCACCGATGTCAATAAAGATTAAATTGGCAATAGATAATCCAATAAAATAATAAGAACATGCATTTGCTGAACGAAATATACGTTGAGAAAAGAGAATGAGATTTGCAAGATTTGCGAATGTGCCAAATATGTATATCGGAATCATTACATAACGAGTTAACGATGTTTGAATGGAATTTAATTGAATTATCAAAGAGTCGACTGAAGAGTTCATTGAAAAATATCTTCTCAACTGTTTTTTTTTGAATTAGCAAAAGGAATGAGACAGAAGTTGTGTACTTTCAAATACAAAGTGATTCTTCTCAAATCATTAAGAAGAGTATTAAGAGAGCGGAAATCTAACAAAATAAGCTTGTTTGTAATTAAAACTTGTTTTTCTTCTTTGTTTTACTATGAATTAGACGATTTATTATTGAAAAAGTGCAAAATCTTCGGTCGATATAACCAAATAGTTCACGTTCTTTCCAAAATAAAGTCTTGATAGGTACTCGTTGTTGATGCTCTTAGCAGGTTTAAAAGGACGAATGAGAAAACACGGAAAAGAAATTGTTAGAACGGTTTGATGATCAATAACATTATCCATTGGAAAAGAAAAGTCTTGGAATTATAAGAGAGCAAAACCTAATGTTCTACTTTTACAAGAAAATACAGAAGTGTATAATCTACGTTTTCTCCAAGTTTAACTTCTTGTTTTGATCATTTATTATTTTATTTTCTAAGTATACAATTTATATTTGTAACATTCTTCTCTACGTGAAAAAGAATATTTATTTATTGTCAGTCTACTTAATATTCTTTGTAAATTCAAACAAAAGTCAATATTTATTGACACCATGGAAATAATTGATGTCTTGTCTTTTGACGAAAACTTCTCGATGAAATTAAGAATATATAACAATTTCCCTAAAACCAAAAAGATTTCAAAATATTTTTATCATATGAATAAATCAACTTACGACAAAATAAAGATATGTTACCATACTTAGCACTGTAGAAGTGAAATATTCTTTCATTTGTCGATCGGAATCTTTGAAAACAGTTTTCGTAAGCCTTGCATACGTTTGATAAATCCCAAAAGGAAGTAAACTAATTACGGAAAGTATTACATGAGTAAAAGTCATTCGTATCAATTGACGATCAACTTGTAATGCATTGAGACGTTTAATTTGACAAACATTTCGATAAGTTAACCATCCGAATAAAATCATAATCAATATCGGTATTGCACAAATAAGACCAAGTAGATAGAAGACGATATAAATATCATAACCAGCATTTGTATTCATACAAATCTTTGTTGGATATGAAATGTTATAAAATACAAAGATTGGAATACCGTGAACACACCAGAAAATGAGAGAAAGAATCACAATTCGATGAGCAAATTCTATTCGACTGAAATGACGAACAGATACATTTTTCGACGTAGTTAAAAATTGATCAATTGCCGCTAAACACGAAAGATTCATTGAGAATATTCCAGGTGTAACAAGAAGAAATTGTCGAAATTTACACCAAATACTCAACGCAGCAATGATATCAATTCCATAACCAATATTTAAAATACGAAGAGTAATGTTAAGTAATATGTAGATCATGTTTGATATTGATTCAATGAGAAAATAAAATGTACAAGGAGTTTGACGATATGTACGAACTTTGAAAAAGATCAAAATATTAATTCCATTTCCAATTATACCGATAATTAGAAGAAAAAAACCAATATAAACTGTAAATTGTTGACTATCGGTGAGTAACGTCATCGTAAATACTTTTCAACAGAGTGTGACAACTACAGACAGTTTTATATCAGAAATACTACGAAGAATTTAATTATTAATCAATTACAAATCCGTCAGTGGCAAGAGTATTTTTTTGATATAACAAGAATAATCAATGTGAAGATGACAATTTTATATTAGGTACTTCGATAAACATATCAAAACAATGTACAAGTAGTTCAAGTCAAATTCATCATATCTTTGATTCGAACATCTTTCCATTTCAATGAAAATGATTTAAAAACAAATAATTAAATCATCTTTATGTTGATATGCAGAAAATGTTGTTGATCTTAGTTTTAATAATGTATTTGAAGTGAGCCATTGATTGATATTTGAACAATAACCTTCATTTGTTTTTCAATTGATTCGAAGAAATAATAAATTTGAAAAAGATTTTTCGTTGACAAGATAATCCAAATTATGAAAATATGTTTCATCGTTTAATAAATCTTCTATTTGAAATAAAATTAAAGTATGAAGACGTTGAATAACATAATTTGGAACGAGATTGATGTGATTCACAGTTAAAGTTCGAAGTCGAGTAAATCCTTGAAAATTGTCCAAAGAAAGATGAGAAAAAATGTTTATATAAAGTGTGTGAACATTTGGAAAACGAGATGAACGAAATACAAATGAATTATGAATAATTAAAGATCGAATATTTGCATGAATGATATGTTGATCATCGATCGATAACATTGATAGATAAAGACTTTCAAATGACCAAGGAACAGTGTAAAAATGTGCGAAAGAATTTGTTGATTCTAAACGAAATTTCATTGGCCATTGTTGATTTAATAATTCGAAGGACTAAAACGAGAAATTGAAGTGTTTTTTTTAAAGAAAGATTTCAATTGAGATAAACAAACTTTGATATCGAGATGACTTTTTGTTTGAATTGAACAATTAAAATGTCGAAGTTTTGGTAAATATTGATCAAATAAGCATTTGATTTCATTACCTTTTAAATATGGATCATCATTATTAACTAATTCATCGATTTTTAATGTCAATTTTGTAAGTTGATTCAAAGGCATAATAATATAACATTTTCATTGGTTATTAAATGAAATTTAATTAAATGAAGCATCGATTGTTTCGACCAAGATTCAGATAGAAAAAATCGACTATTTGTAATCAATTGACGTAAGTTGACATAGAGATATGTTAAATTTGGTACAAGACCATCAAGAAGAACAAAGAAATCATTGAAATTTTGTAATGAAATAGTTAATTATCGAAGAAAATGATTTGAATACAGTTGTTTATGAAGAACAATTCCATGATTTGTAATTAATTCAAGTTCAAGAAGAGTTTGAGATGGAACTGAAAAGAACACATCATGAAAATGGTGATTCAATTCACAACCAATCGTTCGTATTTTTCATCCAAAAACACCAAATGACGAACAGTAGCTAAGTTTGAATTCCGTAAAAGTGACCAGTTTGTAACAAAATCCCGAATTTGATTGGGAGTTCTCGGATTATTAATGATGATTTTCAATGGATTTAATTGTCGTTTATCAAGTAAATCACAAAAAGTTTTCATATTTTCCACTGAATAATTCGTTACATTAACAATGCGATAATATAGAGAAATACATGAAGACATCCATTGGATGTAAATAACGATAAATTATCAAATAAATTTCATTGGATAGATCATCAAAACATGAGAATTGTTTCACATCTCTTCTTTTCATTCGTTTTGGTTTGAACTAAAAACAACGAAAATTTCCTGTGAAACTTTTCATTTTCTCGAATCACCTACTTTCTTTCTCGTCATCATCATAGTGCGATGTGTTTATTAGGAAAGGTCAAAATATACGCAAAAATTGAACAATACCTTTGTTGTCTTTATTCACCTTCGATTGAGATCAACACTGCATTATGTTACAATGAGAAAACGGTGTCATATTTTTGCAAGATTATCAATAGGGTGACAATTGTAGGTCATTTAACACGAGAAAAACTAAAAAGGTTTGAAAAACGGTAAACAACAGGAATAGATTTATGGATAATAAGATTAATAGATACGAGAATGTCAATTTGATGGTATTTCAACACGTTTTCATTGTTTCCTATCGATTAAGATACCGTTAAAAGTGAACTATCGATGTTCTGACGTTTAGCGAGATCAGCAAGAGCTGTTTGATAAGCTTCATCCACATCTACATGAAATAGAGGATAATTCGTATCAAGTATTGGAATTACAACTGAATTCGTATTTGCTGTTGCGAAAGTTCGATTAACGTCATTTGATGAGCCGAATCCGTGTGCAAGAAGTGCACGTTTAATCCACGGATTTGCAAGACCAACGAAATGCCAATTGACTTTCGAATTTGCATAATTGTCCAATTGTTGACGAATATCAGCGAGATGTTGTAAAGAAGTGATATCAACATGTGAAATTCCGGTAAAATCGAGGATAATCGCGTGTAGATGAGGGCGAGGATCGAGTAATTGATGTTGTCGTTGTTGTGGATGTCGACTTGTTTGTAAATTCCAAGGTTGTTCACCAAGATTTTTATAAAGAAAATTCTTTCCACTTTTTGTCTTTTGGAAAACTTCTTCAACTAATTTTTCCATATAATTCGCAGCATTTGGATAAAGAAAATCTTCATAAATTCGATAGATAAATATCCCATCATTCATTTCCACTGGATCAATCATTGGATTCGTTCCATCCGAATGATTCATTGAAATATAAACATTTCTCTTCTCACGTTCAGAAACGAATTGAATTTGACCAAGAAATTTGCCTTCTGCATTGCCAAATCGATAAAGTAAAAGAAGAATTGACGTTAAAATACAAACATAAATTCCATTTTCTATATTGGAGAATACCGTAACAAGAATTCCGATCCAAAATATGAGAAATTCCAGCGGATTGACTCGCCAAAACTGTTTCAATGTTTTCGGTCCAATGATTAAATCTCCAATAGCATGAATAATCACAGCAGCTAAACTTGCTTGTGAAATCCAAAAGAATACTGGTGTTAAAACATAAATTGCTAAGACAATAACAATTCCTGTGATTACACCTGCCAATGGCGTTCGAACACCTGCTTTCGATTTGATTGCCGTACGAGAAAATGAACCTGTTGCGGGATAAGCACCGAAAAACGAGCCGAGAACATTCGTTACTCCAATAGCGATCAATTCTTGATTCGGATCTATCACATAATTGTTTATCCGACCAAAGGCTTTTGCAATGGCAATATGTTCGATAACGAGAACAATGATCGCCGAAGGTAAATATGTTACTAATTCAGAAAACATCGTTCGATCAATTGTGGGCACGGCCATGTTTTGAAAACCTTGAGGAATCGTGCCGAGAATTGCAGTGTGCGGATGAGTTGGATCGTCTCGGTTGATTAACCACGAAATGAATAGATAGATTAAGATAATAAAAACTGTGCGAAGTGTATTGAGAAAGAAGAAGAGTTTTTCGCGACGTGGATAACGTCGAATGGCATAAGTACAGAAAAATCGAATGGAATAGAGAAGAACTAATGCTGATAAACCCAAAATGGCATTGTAATTACAAAATCGAATATTTTTCCAAAAATTAATAAAAACCAGAAACGGTGATTGGCGTGTATCGAACGATTTATTATTTCCCATCAACACAGGAACCTGGCCCACAATGATATTCAACGCCGATCCTGTTGTAAATGCCGCTAATGCCGGCAATGGAATGAAATTCACAATAAAACCAAGACGAAACATTCCCAATGCACAAACAGCACAACCAACGACAACAGCAAGTGCAGATGCAATGACATGATAATCATATTCAGGATGAAGCTTATGAATATCATCAACGATAGTTCCAGTCAAGATCGACATCACTGCAACAGGTCCAATAGTGATATCCTACATTCACATGATATTCTCTTGATATTTTTCTCTTTGTTTGGTAAAGATATTTACTTTACTTGTTGCAAAAAACCAATAGATTATCACACCGACAAATGAGCTGTATAGACCAAACTGTGGAGCTAATTTAGCTAGACCTGCATACGCCATACCTTGAGGAATGACAACAGCAGCTACGGTAAGACCAGCTATGATATCATTGGAAAACCAAACGAGATTATAACGATAAATCCATGTTATGAATGGAAATAACGAAAGAAAATAACTTTTTATCCGTTCTTTTGGATTTGTTAATTTGTTCCTTATCCAACCAGTAACTGTCGGAAGTTCTTCATGATATACAGTCTCATGATTCATCGTTAATCGAATAGTTTCAACCTAAAGAGACAGTTATGTGATAATGGATTCAATTTATTCACCTGTTATCTTAAACGACACAAGATAAATATAGAATCTCGATTATAGCGAACTTCACGAACAGTTTCACGTAGATGAGATGTTTATTGACTTAATGCTCTGAAAGAGACAAGTTTTGCACTCATCCTTCAAACAAAATGTAAGTTATGCGGACATTCATACTAGAAAGACAAGATCAATTAACACGAAGAAACAATCGGGGTCACATATGATATACCTATAAAAGAGAAGAAGGAGAGAACGAGTTGAGATGTGACCTCGATTGAACTCGTATTGGTTATATTGAATTTATTCTGATTTGTTTTAACGAATTAAAGCAAAAAAAGCACAAGATGAAGAAATTTATTCCTGAGGTAACGCTTGACGGTCAGTAGTTGTCTGTGGAGTAAATAACGAGTAAAATGCGCTCATTCGATTATACTGTGTAACAACATTGAACAATTCGTCATTAATGGCATTTCGTTGAATTCGATTTAGTGTAAAACCGGATATTTTCGAAAATTGATTCGAATATGTGGATATTTTGTTGAGAGATGATTGACTTGATTGCAACGCTTTCTGTTGATCATCAATTGCTTTTTGATATTGTTCCATGGCTGTTTTCCATTTGATTCGATTGGTTTCCAATGCATTTAATTCCTTTTGATATCTCGAAGCTCCTTGATAATTCAAATAATTGTGCACAGCTACGTATCCGAGTCCAACAGTTCCCGCAGTCAAAGCAACAGGAGCGGCGACAGCTGTTGCAGTCACTGAAACGATCGCAAGTCCAGTTTTCAGTGCTAATGCTCCTGTCACAGCTCCACTAACTGTTCCTCCGATTCCATATAGCATCGCTTTGAGTTGATCGGAAACCGTTTCCTCTTTTAACGTTTCGATTGATTTTTTAAGTCCATTGTATTCGTCATTATCAAGTATTTCGATCATATGTTGAATTTCAATTTGGACTTTATACGTATTCCCATCGATATCTAAGAGTGTATCTTGATGACTCCGAATGAGTTGACTAATTTCGATGAGGCGATCACTTTGTACAAGAGCGCGTATAGATTGAGTTTGCTCTTTTAGAATCGGTAAGACTTTCTGTTGATGTGTGACCAATACTTGAAGATTTCGTTGAAATTCTTCATATTTTTGTGTTCCTTTATCCAACGCGACGAGTAAATCATGGGCTTCGTTCAATCGACCAGCTCTTTCCGCTGCTCGTTCGATATTTCCACGTGCTTGACGATATGTTGATATAACCACAGTGTTTTTCGAATACAAATCTCCCAATTCAGCACTTGTTTGGCGAACTGCTGTGGCCAGATTATGTACCAGTTGATCGACATCCTTCTGCACTGTTTTATCTTGATACATCTCGGTATGTTTTCTGAGTTCTAAAATCAAATCGATTTGCATCGAAGTTTCCGAATGTAAATAATCTCTCGACGTGGTCATTTTCTCTAACATATCAACCGCTGCCGGATACCAATTTCGACGACTTGGTTTTGGAAATGAAATCATATCTGAACCGAATCCTGAAATACTAATAACTATCGCAAAGCCTGCTATAATTATACTCATATATCGTCCGTATCGAAAACTTAGTTTGAATAATAAATACGAAAGTCCAATGGTGACCATCCATGAGATGAGAAACTTGATGATTCCATCTTTCCAGCTATCATAGTAAAAGATTTTCTTGCTTTTCAGCATAACTTCTAACGGCGCATCTGTTATGTAAAACTTCGCTTGAAAATCTGTAAATACTTGATGCCATTTTTCAGTAATTTGAGTAACGAGAGAATAATTTCCTTCCGTCAAATAAGACATAACTAAATGCCCGTTTTCCAAACCTTTCTTCAACATATTCGACAATTCGTTACAATCATAGACTTGATTTTCAACAAACGAAGTATATTGTTCAGCCATTTTTTCCATTTGAACTAATGTCACTTCCATCGNAGTGGCGGTGGTGGTGACGAAGATCGTTGGATTTCCTTTTGTTTTTCTTCTTGTTCCTTCTTTTGCTCGATTAATTCATCAGTTATCTTCTGTGCTAAGGTGATTTTTCCTGATTTTGTCGCGTATTTGACCGCTAATTGAAGAGCGATTGAGTCCATTAGTTGACAAATTTCAAAAGCGCGATATTCACGATTCGATTTACATGATAACTAAACGAAAAACGTTGTTTCGAAGTTGAATTTTCGTGGGAAAACGTACTGCAAACATTTTAATCAAGCATTGTCGTTCGGTATTGCAAAAATCCTCTTCATCGGTCGAATGAGTGAATAATTTCATTTTGAGATAGTCACTCTAAATGGATCGGATCGTTTTTCGAAAGAAAAATGCGAATGACGAACTTCGAGTTGACTTTTTTCCGTATCGATTTGATAAAGAGCCAAAGGAAGTGAAATTATTGAGACGAGTGGCCAAGGAACAAGGTCGGGAAACGATTGACCACGAAGTTCAATGACGCGTACTTGGACTTTTCCATCAAAGTCATTGATTCCCAATAACCAATAATTCGTCGTGTTCTTTTCCGCCTAAAATAAGAAAAACTTCTTGGAATCACAATAAAAGAAACCAACGAACTTCTTGTTTGAGGTTGGAAATCAATAAAGGTTCGAGTTGATTTCCTTTGTTATGTCTCAGCATACTCAAATGACCAGATTTTTCCAAATAATAACATTTTCCACTATCAGAAAATCTAAATAAAACGATATAAAAATATTTGAAAAGAAAATCGCAACAAACCCCATCCAAGACAATTTCGTTTTCGGTGTTAAAGGTAATGATCCAGTTGAATAATGATCATTTTCTATATCCAACAATACATATGACATTGCTTGTTCTTTCGGAAGTCCTTGGGTCGAATGGTGAATCATCCATAGATGATTTTGATACGAAGACATTGAAACAATCGGTCCTTGAAGACGAATGATTCGTTGTTGAATTCCTGACAAACTCATCAAACGAATGAACCGTTGTGATGTGGCAACAGCAAGAAAATCTCCACCCAAAGTAACTAATTCGATCTTTTCATTATTTTCCGTGTTTATTGTCCATTCTTTCATATTGGAATCCCATGATTGATACAAAATACAACATAATTTTCCTGTTTGCGATGAACCAAGTGCAATAGCTGATAGAGACAAATCGCCAACAGAATATTTATCTGTTTTGTTATCGATTGTGATCGAATGATGATATGAAACATCGTGAAATGAGATTTGAATTTGTTCGCTGTAACAAGTGATCGCACCGATGTTATTCCAAAGTAGAAATCGACTTTCGAGATATTTCGATGTGGATGTCGATTGAAATGGCTCTTGTAATTCAATGGGTTTTGTTTCGGTTAACATTGATGAGGCACGTTCGAACCATTTAGGAATGACTTCTTTATCGTCAATTGCCATTTCCACATCATTGGAATTCGATTCCAATTCATCCACGACTTCTTCCATTTCCTCTTCTTCTTCTGCGCCAAGATCAAGTTTATCCGAGGGTGTCGATGTTGGTTTAGAAAGATATTCCGACACATCAACATGTGCATATTCACCCTAAATAGATAATCATTTAAAGATGAAAGAGGTAATCAGTGAACTCACCGCCATTGTTGAACAAGTAAATCGAGTTGATTCGATGGGATTCCATGCCAATGAACAAACTGCGTCTTTCGATGAATAACTTTGAAGAAAAAAAGAAGAAATGAATTTGTAGAGAGAGGAAGTTTTACTTCATGCAGATATCGAATGTTAAACGATTGATAATCGCTAATTGCCCATTGACATACGCAACGACGAATAAAGTTCCGCATGGTGAAAAACGAATTAGATTAATGGCCTTCAATGAGAAAAGAAGCTCGAAATTTAGTTTTTGTACGAAGAAAAGAAGAAACAAACTTCATCGATGGAATCATTCTCATAAGTTTTCTTTCTTGTCCATTTCTCCGATTCAAAGAATTGAATTGTATTCTTTACTGGAATCGCCAACATCTAAAATCATTCTATAGTTTAAATTTCGAGATGATCTCTATTGATTTACCTGATCTTTTTTGTCCCAATCGAGTTTGACCAACGAAACAGCCGTTCTAAATCAAAGTTTCATGAACAATTTCGTAATTCATCTAAAAAAATTTACTCGATATCGTTAGATTTTTGAATCAAACTTAATTGTTTGATTAACGTTTGTTTATCTATATTGAATATTCGGATTGAACCATCACAACACGATGTGGCCTTTACAAAACAAAATCGTCGTGAGAAAATTCCCGAAAATGTTTTCTCACCAGCCATCGTTTCTCTTCATAAACATTTAACGAAAGAATTGGCGCTTGATGACCATCAAAATGTTTCATTTTGTTTGAATCATCATTCAAATTCATCATCACACATTTGAAATCTCTTGTTCCGATGAATAATAACGAATTTGATAGACAAAGCGCTGAAACAGGTTGAGTAAAATGAACAAGACTTGGTAATGAATCACCATGTGGAAATGATCGAACTTCAAGTTCATTTCGATTTGTTCCAATAAAGACATGATATTCCTTTGAACAAAAATAATTGTCATTCGCTAATGAAAATGATCAACTTACATGAACAACTAAACAATGACATTGATCAGCACATCGAATATGTTCAACTTGATCAGATTTTGTTTCGAAAACATGAATATCACCATCTTGACCACAAGTTAAGAAATGACTTCAAACAAAATTCATGATACTTTCGAATGATTTTTAATGTAAACGAACCTTCCGTCTTTCGTATAACAAATATCCGTGAGACCAGCGATCGAATGAGCAGAGACAACAGATAACATTTTAGATCAGATAAAGAAATGAATTCGAGAATAGAAATTTATTTTGAAAAGAGACATCTATCGATTTAACAAAGACACGTGGGCTTTTATTCATCTTTTAAATATTCGTTCATTCTTTTGTCCTTCACACTGTTTACGAATATCATATATTACGTATGGAGATGCGCTTTGTGCCATGGAGAGAGATGAAATGGTTTTTGATAATGATCAATTGATTTTGCATAGCGATACATTTTATGACATATTCAACTTATATTTATGTGAGGCGTAGCGAAATCAGGATGACTTAAAGGGGAAATCTTTAGTTGAATTTCAAGTGAATTTTCATAATAAGATAGTGAGTCTTCTTCGCTCTTGAAATGGATTACGCCAATGATGTTGTGCATATCCACTGAACCGAGATTAAGTGGAATAGAAACCAAGTGTTTTTGAAAATCTGCTCATCTTGGTATACAACAAAATAAGATGATTGGGGGAGAAAGGGGTTTCTGGTCAATCTCAAGTGATCTTTTATCATAATGAAGTGTTTCCAAATTTTCGTACACATCGAATCCATATGTTGTTGAAAGAGATTGCTAGATGAGATTCAAGCGATTTTTCAAATGGTGACAATGTTTCGGATTATAATTCGTTGAAAATGCCCAATACGACAGCTTGAGTGCATAGAAACGAAAAGTTGGTCTTCGTTATTGTATTCACGAAAGAAGTCGAACACGTCGACCGATTAATTTTGATTTTGAGAAATTACACGAATAAGATCTGGATCGTCTGTGTTACTTTGGCAAAGGCATGAGAAACACGTCGATATTGCGACTTGTAGATAAGAAACTATTAATACTAGAGTAAAACTGTATAAAATACATTGTTTTTGCCGCGGCAGAACTCCAGGACGATCGTTCCAGCGACTGGATCCAGTAAACTCCTTGCCGCCAGATTCCGCTCAACTCTTGACCGTTTCTAACTGAAAGTTTGCAGAAAACAACGGTTAGTTGCCATGCGAAAGCTGAACAAAGAGAAACGACGAAAAAGGACCTATGAGTTATGTATTATGTCCTCGATGAATAGAGAGAAAAGGAGAAAATGTAAAAACGGAGAGAGTGCAGGTTTGTGTATAGCAGTGGAATGTCTTGTGAAGAATCAAAATCTATTTAATCTATACGTGCATCACTAGTCAGCATGGTAGATAAGAGCGAAGCAGTATTTTGAAAACTTTTCGAAGGACTGTTACTTGTCTTTTAGAATCTAAGCAGACATATTTCCACATACGTTGAATCAGTTTTATCGTTATATACAACCTCTTCGTGCCAAGGATACTGGTAGAGAAATAACCCATCAACAACATATTGCAATCACTTTCGTGTAGTTCTTGAGGGATTCGAAATTTTTCATTGATATGATGATTGTACGTAAAATGATCAATGCAGTCCTCCCAAATAGTGCGTTTTTCGTTTTTATGAATTTTTCGAAAAAAATGTTTTTTTGACCTTCGACCCTAACACAAACACACATACAAACTACTTTTTTCGTACGACCGTCCTTTCAGTCGAAGGAAAAATAACTATAAGAAAAATCAAATTTGATTTATGAATATGAGCTATGTAACAAATCGTTCATAATAATCATTAAATGAGGTCTAGTTGATCGAAAGGTAAGGATAAACTAATCACTGACAGTCACTCAAATTCCATTGTTTCTTTATATACCGAGAAACGATTCTTTAGTGCGTATTATTACAGTGCTTTCATTAAGCATGATGTTCACATATTTACAGTTATAGAAAATCATTCACTCGATATTTTTATCTAACTTTTATTATTCGAATAAATATTTCATATTATTTATATTTAATAATTATCTGGATTCTTACAAACAACTTCTTCTAAATTTCTCTTATTTAGAAAATTTTCATCATTCATGAGACATCCGTATGTACATATAAAAAATATCCACACACATGTTCTATCTTTTCTTCATTGATTTTTATTTACATTTTGATAATTATTATTGGATCTGCTTCAAGATACGTTCAATGCTATTTTTAAGAAAAATAATACGAGGATGCGTTGAAAGTACCGTATCAGAATCCATAGCGATTGCTTCTTCAAAATAAGATAATGCTTGTTTCAATTCCCCTTTCTTTTCATAGATGAGACCAATGCTACTAAGCGACTCTGCGATATAAGAATGACCAGATGGATAAATTCGTCGAAAGATTTCAATTGATAGATTGTAATGATCTAGTGCAAGATCATACTGATCAAGATTTCGATATACGTCGCCAATATTGTTGTGTGAGAGGCCCAATGTATGATGATTAGTCGANATTTTGCACACGAAGGGCTTTGTTTAAAAGTCTAAATAGAAATGATTCTCTTGTATACCACCAAATAGCGTTATCAGGCGAATAATTATGTTCAAACTCATTTAAAATATTCAATTGAGATACATTCCCATCATAATATTTTCTGCACACATCAATCAATTCCTTTTTATCATTTGGATTCGATTCCATTCGCAGTAGACAATCAATAAGCAGATGTGAATAAACGAATTGACCATTAAGTCCAGTAGTCGATAGATCTTGGCAACTGTTCATTTTGAAAATATTTATTTGAAATGGTTCGTCAACTTTATTACGAATACTTCTCATTTGATTAGATTCAATTTCATTCACAAGTGTGTCGAATTGTGTACCGATATTTTTTATCTAAAATAGAAAATAAGAGAAGTTTTTTTTAACTCAAATCAAGAATTATCATTGCTTCATGAGATTTTATTTACCTTAGGAAATGTTTTAGTCCATTGTTGGTTTCTTTCTTCACATGTACAATATACATAAATCGAAAAAACTTGTCTGAGTTGATGAATTCGAGACACTACTAGTAATTCTTCACCTGACTGATCATTTATGATTAAAATAATTCGATTATCTTTCGATATAGATCGAAGATAATTTTCACATTCATCGCTATCTTGAAATATCTTTAAACAGTTGATCGATGCTCGGAGACGCTGTTGAATATCAATATACTTCTTCGTTTCATCCAATGATGTTTCGAGCCATATAAGAGAAAATGTCTCCAGATTGTTGTTTTGCGGTGAAATATAACTGAAAGTTTCTTCCATCAGGACGTTTCTTGAATAATAACTATTTATAAGTAACAGTACTTATGTTATTCTTCGAAAGACATTTTGTCGACACAGCGCATAAAAATATTTTCTCGTCATATGGTGTATCTACTTTTTATATGAAGACTCGGAAGGTGTCTCTATCAGAGATGGGCATGGTTCGAGTTTTTCAAAACTTTAACCGAACCGCAATCAGAAAAGTACTGAAATCAATTATTGATAGCTAACCCGTACAATCTCTGTCTAAAATTATTTTGTTCGAAATTATTGTTACCTGTTATATTCAGATATATGTTACACTTGAATATGAAGCTCAACTGCTTTTAAAAGTCAACTGGTGATCTGTCCGAACGTGACGGAATCACGTTTTCTCCTCGTGTACGTACTGTGCTTCCGCAATATGAAGAACTAAAGACCTGAGTCTTATATAGCTAACATCAGGCTAGTTCCTCTACAGAATGCAGAAAATTTCATTAAATTCACTCAATTTATTCCTACTTTTACCAGCAGAAATATATGTCGTGACGAAATCACACAAAACAGAAAGTTACATTTAGTTGATCGCACAAAAATCTCAAACTCGATTCAGTAGTCGCGATTATAAAAAACGAACCGTAGCAATTCGGTAACTTTAGTGGCGGAGTATATAGTAGAAAGAAATTGCAAAGAATAATTGTATCTGGCTTTCAGCCGCCAAAATATTGGTCGTGACTGAAGTATGTTTTTTCTTGAAAATTTCTTCTTCGAAAACTTAACTATAGTTTTATTGAATCGATGATGCCTATAAAGTACTCACAGATATCTCTGAAGAAAAATTATTTTACTTCGTCTTCGTAATATCTTAAGAATTATAGAAGGAGACCATAACTTAATCAGTTTTCGAAATTAGGCTCCAGAGATCAACGTTTAGGTGGACAGGCCACTGATTGACTATCGAACCTAAAAGATAACCGATTTATTTTACTTCGCTTTGTAATTTGAAAGGCAATTGAAGGTTCGAGCTAAGATCGACATCTGCTGCGCGAGAATTAAGGCAAAAGTATTAGAGAACATGTATGAGAATACAGAAAAGCAAATAAGAAATAAACAACATTTCTAAGGAAAAGCTAAACGACTTCTACTTGGTTCAAACTTTGGAAAATAGTTTCTAGCTAACATATCGCTTCTTCGTGCTAGCTTCACACTGGTACATGGTGATTTGAATTTCAAGTACTTGATTCTTTCGTCATACATACAGAGACAATAAGAGAAAAGTGAATTTTGTCCTGAATACGAAGAAACAAAAAGAACAATAAATTTTTCTTTCGACGAAATGTTTTTCTGGAAGCAAAATTCGACAAAATGGCCAGTCAACTAACTGTACTGAGGACGAAGTGCTTCTCGATAAAAAATACTTTCGAAAAAAACCTTCCTACAACAATATGTCAACGAAATATCGTTCTACTAACAACATAGTATTCGCAGAATATTGTTTTATTGCACTCTGCAGCACTCATCAATTGAGAATATCTAACCGAATATCAGAGCTTATATGTACAGAGTTGATCCGCTTATTTGGGTACTTTCTTCTTCTCTGTTTTTTCTGTTCTTATCAACCACCAATCAATAGCTTGATTACTAGATAGGTGGCCTTTGTTCGTTTTCGTCTATTGGATTTTTCCTATTGCAAGTCAATATTTTTCTTTCCCAAACACTGTGAGACGTGACTTTTGTGTAGATGGAGAACATACACTCTTATCATCAGAAACAGCACGTATATATGTGTAGAGAATGGAAGCGAAATGAAGAAAAGGTCATCGATGTGAAGCGAGCACCATGAAACTAAGAATTTTGTGAAAACGAATTCCCATCGGCAAAACCCAGCCTATTCGACACAGAATTTGATTCTGAGTCGCATGGTGATATTTTTATTCATGGGAAAACTGTCATAGACTTTGGCCATGATTCTTCTACCCCTCAACATATTTCACTTCCCTTCATTTCATTCTTCTCTTCCATCCCACATCTACTCTTGTCGTATATATACATACGCATTTTTCATGAGAGGGTGGATTCTCCTCCTGTCTTCTCCTCCTCAATAACGGATCATCACAAAAACGAATGGGAAATTTTCCTCCGAATTTTTCTTTTATAGAATTACGTATAGAGGAAATATAAGAGTCGAGGTTAGCTCCGTCCCGATAGTCTTCTCGTGAATAAAAGTGGCACCGTTCGATACAGAATTAAATCCTGCGGCGAATAGACTCGGTTTTATCAATGGGAATTCGTTTTCACAAAATTCATAGTTTCGTGGTGCTAGCCTTCCATCGATGATTTTCTTCAATAGAAATCAACTGCTTTCTAATATCTTCTCATCGTAGTATATTCAAGTTCAAGTGATTGGAAATACTGATCCATATCGAACACATGCTGTTGAAAGATATTGCCAAATAGGTTTCAAACGATTTTTCGAACATTAACAATGCTTCACGACAAGGACAAGTACTTGTAGCATGATGGATCAGTTATTTGAATTAATTTCTGTATAAATTTCCAATACGGAAAATTCAATGCATAGAAAAGAAAATTTCTCTTTCGTTATTGTATTTACTATCACTGTCAATATTTACGAAAGAAGCCGAACATGTCGATAGATCAATATTATTTTCGTCAAAATCTGAATTAGTGCTTGTGATTAAATAATCATCGACATAATAAACACAAGAATAACACAGAAAATATGTCAATGCCGATCTCGTAATTACGTGCAGTCAACATAAGGAAAATGTCCAATCGATAAGACATCCTTTGCTTCTTTGCGTGTGATCTGTTTTGTTATTGGATAAGCAGCATATTCAAAAATGAAAAATATGAAAAAAGACAAAGAGAGAAATATTACGGAGTTGTTAGTCTTACAAATATTTCTTTGCTTAGTCGATCTTGCTTGTAGACAAATATGAAGACAATTGAGCCGACGAATGGTAAGCACACGGCTGTTCAGATTCACAATATCGAGAAAAACGAATGCAACCAAGACAGATATAAATTCGAATTGATACAGCAACGTATCGATACTTTATCTTCTGGTAACTTTTGCTTTCACCTACATGGCATGAGACACTTTTTGTGTGCCAATATATTGAGAGGCGATTTGTTTCTTTTTCACACTGAAATCAGATAATTCATTATTTCATGACAGATTGTTGATGTTCTTACAAACGTTTTCCAATCTGTGATGTATGACAAACGAGTAAAGTGTGTAACCTCAATGAACATTTCTTTTCCGAATACTTGACACGTTAGTTAAAATGTTCAACAATCGAATTCATTTGATCCACTACTTGGGTAGAGATAGAATTTAAAGATCTTATTCACAACAACTCAGATATTTCTCTACAGGCTTCAATTCTTGAAATTCATTTTCGAACAACATCCGTCATCCCAGTGTATTACACCAAAATAAAATTTGAACCAAAGAAAATGACGCTGGAATGAATATCTACTAAACAAAACGAAAAGAAGAAATATACGAAGTTATATAATTCAACAGATGTCTCTTTACAGACGAGATATTTCGAAGTGATCTGTACACATATATATGTCGAATGTACACAAAGTGACTTAATCCGAACAATATACTATACATTCCTTCGGCTTATACATATCTCGTTCCTTTACATACATAGATAGAAAAAATGGCCAAAAAAGAAATTTCTGTTTGAAACGATTTGTTGTATAAAACGTCTTTTCTTGTCTTAGTTTTGTTTTTTCATTTTCAGATAAAATGAAACGCCACCCCCCGCCAGAAAGACAACAAGAATTTGATGATGTTCATCATTATTAGTCTTCTTCTCACCGTTACATCTGGAGCTACTATCTATTCGGTTTACCAGCATGATGTTCGTGAAAAAGGTGTTCCAGTGGCGCATTATATACAAGCAATATGTCGACAACCAGCGAACATTTATGAACGTAGTTTCATTACGATTATGACATTAGCAATGTTCGCGGTTGTCCTAACAATAATAATTGTCTTCGGAGTTTGAGTGCGTGATATAATAGACCGAATTGAACGAACAAAAAACAACAAGCATGCAATTGCGTAGCTACCAAGGACGATGGTTTCGGAAGCAGTATTCCGCTAATTTCCGATGAAAACCTGCAGGAAATCTCTTATTTTCCGGCTGGAAACGCCTGGAATTGGCTCAGAATTCGGCGAGAAAATCCTATGACAGGCTTCGGTCGGTTCCAAGTGAAACTTGGGAAATCCAGTCACCGGATTCATTCTCTGGAACCCGTCAGATCCGCACCGGATTCTTCGACCTGGCTAAGTATAAATACAGTGAAAAAATACATTGGAATTCAGTTGAATGTTTATTGTCAAGAAAAACACTGAGAGAGAGAGAGAGAGAGAGAGAGAGAGAGAGAGAGATAAAAAAAGTCCGAAAAAGCAAATGTTAGTGTAAATCGAATATAAATATCGATCTGATTCCAAGTCTAATGTGTGTTTTTATTGATTGTAGGACGAAGTTCAATTGGCAAACAATTTACTCAAGTTAGCAAAAGACATCAAGGCTCTTGCTTGTGCCAGTCCGACGGTCGCATCCGAAATGCTCAAGGCACTGCTCGTGCAGCATCATATACCGGACCATCTGTTAGAACGCGCACATGAGTGAAATGGTTGTTTTTCGGTATTCTTAAATAAAAAGAATGATAGAAAATACACATGTAGAACAGATATGAGAAAGAAAAAAAAGGATTATCTGTCTTTGAAGACGAATGGTTGTTTCTGAATACTCACGGTTGATAGAAAATACAACATAGTTATAGTGTTTGTGCTGAAATATAGTGTGCAATAGCTAAGAGAGATAAACTACCAACAGAGTATTTATCTGTTTTGTTTCATAACACTTTCGAATGAATCTCAAGTGGCAAACACAAACCTTCTGTCTTTCGTATAATAAATATCCGTGAGACCAGCGATCGAATGAGTAGAGATAACATGTTGGAGAACGAAATAAATTGTGGAGATTAGAAAAGAAGTTTATTGTTCAAGAGACATCTATCGATCTAATAAAAAACACGCGTGCTTTTATTTCTCTTTTAACTATTCGTTCAACTTTCGTTTTCATATGCGCGAGCGAGATTTTTGCGAAGAGTAGTCAGATAAGGATGGTCTGAAGGAAGATTGTTGCTTTGACAAATTTCTAATGCTCTTTCGTAATACTGAATTGCTTTTGAATAATTGCACATTTTATAATAAACCATACCGATATTATTGTACGATAAAGCAAAATCAAAGTAATCTGATGGAAAGATCTTTTGTTTAACTTGAAGCGATTTGTCATAGTAAATAGGTGCAATTTCTAGTTGATGATTTCGTTTTTTATAGAGCATACCAATGTTGTTGTAAATACTCGCTAAATAAGTATCAAGTGAACGAGATTTTGTTTCGTAGAAATCAAGTGCTTTCGAGTAATATAAAAAGAGCTTTTGAATCTACATTCAAACTATCATATACAGAAGCGATGTTATTATAGAAAATGGCCAAATCTGGATTATTTTCACGTAAAATTTCCTCATAAAGGACGGGGGCGCTTAAGGGCCAAAATCGGCCCACTCTCAAATGTCACCGAAAGTCATCCAAACCTGTTGAGGTGATCTTGCTGCATTCAAAAACGAAGAAACCAGAGTTAGTCAAAGCAAAATATCTGGAGAAATTGATACCTCAGTCAGCAGGAGAACACCCTGATTTTCGAGTCCATTAGGACCCTTGTAGCGTCTCTGGAAGGCAATAGTCCATAGTGGTCCAGTCTGAAAACTAGTCATACTGATGCAACTTTTCGAGATCTCCAACTTTCCTAGCAAGACCAACTCTTTCCGAAGCGATTCTCAGGATCATGTTGGCCAAAAACTGTCAAAATTCCATGAATTTCACGGTGTTGTACCATTGTAGCTCCTCTGGGCGACCAAAGTTCTATGTGGTCCAAGCTAGAAACTAGTTATATCGACGCAACTCTTTGAGATCTCCAACTTTCCTAGCAAGACCAACGCTCTCTCGAGTGGGCATCAGGGTCATTTCGGTCAACAACTGACCAAATTCCTTGGTTTTCTATGATTTTGATGCATATTTGATGGGATACTCACATAAAAGTTAGGTACTCGATGGGAACGAATGTCATATTCGGAATCAGCACAGAAAACTGAGTCTGTTTCTATATTTTTTAATGATTTTCCACGAGTTTCATTTTTTTCAGAAAAGACGGCTGTACCCCCCTCAAATCTTGTCGAAGGTGAAGTCGAAAAAAATCAAAGTCGCTAAAAATCAGTGGAAAATAGATATATAGACTGAGTTTTCTGTGCTGATTCCGAATATGACATTCGTTCCCATCGAGTACCTAACTTTTATGTGAGTATCCCATCAAATATGCATCAAAATCATAGAAAACCAAGGAATTTGGTCAGTTGTTGACCGAAATGACCCTGATGCCCACTCGAGAGAGCGTTGGTCTTGCTAGGAAAGTTGGAGATCTCGAAAAGTTGCATCAGTATGACTAGTTTTCAGACTGGACCACTATGGACTATTGCCTTCCAGAGACGCTACAAGGGTCCTAATGGACTCGAAAATCAGGGTGTTCTCCTGCTGACTGAGATATCAATTTCTCCAGATATTTTGCTTTGACTAACTCTGATTTCTTCGTTTTTGAATGCAGCAAGATCACCTCAACAGGTTTGGATGACTTTCGGTGACATTTGAGAGGGGGCCGATTTTGGCTCTTAAGCGCCCCCGTCCTTTATCTGTTGTAAATTATCGATAGTAGAGACAGAATATGACAAATAAGACGAGCCATTTATTAATGCCAATAGTTGATTTGATTATATTAAAAATGAATCAAATGCATTATTGGATCAATTCCAAAAATTGATTTGTCATATAGTTTGGTTATAACTTATTTACATGTGTCCAATGTCGGATGATCAAGTGCTCTATTTTGCCTGGTCATCTCGCATTTCGCATTTTGCCAATAGTTTGAAATTCTTGGGAGCACTTTCGTCGTTTATCTTTGCTCAATTCCAGAACTGTAGAACATCATTTGAAGAAATCAATACCTTTTCTTCGGCATTGACATTTTGCCAATTGTTCTAAAATTATACAACGAAGATTCAATTGATTTTAATATCAAACAATCTCATCTTTTCGATCTGTTTTTCACTGCAGTTCAAAATGATGACACATTGAATTAATTTTCGAATGCATTATTTGACCAGTTCCAATTTGATAGATAATTAAATCAATTTCAATACTCGGTTATCTGGCAATTTGCCAACTGTTTGAAATCTTCGATTTTTGCATTGTTTATTTAAACTAACATGATCATAACTGGATTAGTCCCAATATCTGATTTTTCTGTGCAACTCATGCATGTCTTTACGACCAAATTCGGCCGTTGAATATAGCCTTCCTCAATGAATGCATAATATATGGTCAATGGAAGATTATTTGAATTCATATACAAAGAGATTATTATGTTGTACCAATGAATTCACTAGACCAATTCAATCATCATTATTCCTTCTATCGATTTCGAAAAATTAGTTGACTCGTAATATTTATTTAGCTTTACTCAATTACCAACACTATGAAATTGTTTGGTTATTTGCTGGTTTACTTATAAATTTCCTTCTTTAATTATCAATTTCACTGATTTCAAAATGCAACTCAGATACGGGGTTCATTGGATCTTTGAATGATTCAACTACATTGTAGTGTTTGGTGTCTTGTCGGTTATCACAACTCTTTTGGCGTTCTAATATATTTCACAATGATCAATGTCACATGAATGCACTATTTGGCACGATGCCAATCAAAAATGGGTATTACATGAATTATTAGTGTTCTGTCAAAGAAGATATTCATACCTTTGTATTTTTAATATCTGTTTTTTCTTGTTCCGTAACTTTTTAATTTTTCTTTTGTATTTTTCTCTTTACTACTTAAATGTATTCTAGTTATTTTTGTGCTTATTTTTGCAGAGTCCTGATGAGTGTTTAAATTTTAATAAATAACACGAAACGCGTCGGCGAAATCAAATTATCTGCATTTCTATATTATTTATTTTCAAAAGCACATCTTTTATACCTCCAATATTCTGTTGATCTTTGATCGATTGCTGAAAAGCAAAAGTTGAGACTAGCGAATTGGCTTGTATCCAACAAATATAAGATAGTTTGTTTTTCGATTGATTTATTCCTAAAACAATCTGATTAGTTTCTTCGGAGAGGACGAGGTGCATCATTAGTTGCTTAGGAATATTTCCTCGACTGTAGGGAGGATCATATGAAATAAAATAGTTTTTATGTTTCTGCCATGGTCAAAGACGGTAAAATCTTTTATTTTGAGGATAAGCGTCTGCGCACAAGTAATGGGCTTCTGTTGTAGCCGCGGGTTCAAAACTGAGCGGTTGTGAAATCCAATGGCACTATCAATTTTTCGATATTTCCTACTGGATTTTCTCGGTCTATACTAGGTTCACCGAAGGAACCCTCAAAATCGTAGAGGAGCCGACTGATGGGTGATCGAGGTCGAAAAATCCGGTGACATCATCAGTTTTTCAAGTTTTTGAAATAAACTGTTCAGATCAGAGACCGGCGGGACGAACGATTTGTCCCGTCCCGTCGTGGGACGGGACGGGACGAAAAATTTAAAACTGGACGCGGGACGGGACGGGACGGGCCGACTTGAAAAAAGCGCGGGACGGGACGGGACAAAGCTTTATTTCTATTTGTCCCGCGATCAATTTTTTAAAATTTATATGATTTAACCACATTATCGACAAGAAAAACACGAAATAACGTCAACAGTGGTATCTCTTGATAGATATAGAACAGAGAAACAGTCTTATTCGTTAATTCTTATCTTCAATATAAAATCTTTTCTTTTATCCATCATGTCCATCTAAAACCATCCAGACCTTTATTCATGAATGTTTACAAAAACAAAGTTAGCTTTTCTTTGCTTTGATAACAATGAGCTTTTATTCTTGTACAAACGAAAGATTATTCGAGAACCGTACTTCACCTTGATCTATTATTGTTATCCTCTATATAAAGACAGATTCATAGATAGTTTAACATTCATTATTCAGATTCAGTGGAACCATTTGTTATTTTGAATTCAGAAAATTTTACATATATTCATCTGGTCTACATTTCTATTCTGTATTCATTAGATGTAAGTAACTTTCGTTTTTTGTTGAGCATAAAGCTGATTGATGTATTAAATCGGTATATTTAACTGTATAAATATTGATATGGATAATGATATTATTTTCGTCGACAACAATCAAAACTCTTCTTTTATATTGATATTCATACGAATGCTGAAAATTCACCGTCGACATCATCTCGAAATAGTTTATCTATTTTGTCTTCTTCGCCGTCCAATCAATCTCATGAATATTCTTGCAAAAAGATCGAGATGTTAAATGGTTACTCAGCCATGAACTGAACTCTATCCACTGTACTTTTTTTCTTCAAATAAATTCTTTATTTAAAAATAAGCAATAAAATAGTACTTCCTTTTTTACTATTAAAAAATGACTTGATGGAGAGTTTTTATATACGCGGGACGGGACGGGACGGGGCGGGACAAGTTGGTAATTGGCGGGACGGGACGGGACGAAAAAATCATCGTCCCGCCGGTCTCTGGTTCAGATAGATAAGTTGGCTATGTTGTTATCTCTACGGCCGTGCAGTACATGCAGGTCTCTTCTAGTTGTATACAGATGCCAGTAATGTATAAAAGTTTCAAATCATTTCCCTGTATAAATAGTTAAGATAAAGTTGTCAAATCCGTTTGTCTCAACACTAACCGAGATGGAAAAAACGGTTTCCTATTCAGCCGAGGGTTGAGCAAGTCGTCTTCGACTTATGTTGTTTGCTCGTACGATTCAATCATTAAATCAGAACGATCAGTTGGTTATACTCAAAACCAACGAAAAATTATATTTTTTGGTTCATTAGCTTTCTTTCATCCTTTGATTGAGTTGGTTGATTGAATTTCGACAAACTCAACATGCTGCACTTACTTAAGACTTTTCTCGAAAATCTTTTACACATACTTAATGTGTTAATTTTGATTGTACTTTTTCAAATTTATCAATAAATCGAAATGAACTATCAAACTAACCTCATTACAACTTATCAAGAAACAGATTCCTAATGAGTCCTGAACATCCACCGTTCTAGACGTACATACCGTGTTGTAAGTAGCTTAAAGTTCTACTCGAAACTAATTCTTTGGATATTTATTGACCATGAGTTCTTCTGGACATTTGATCCAGAGACCGACGGTATGCGGTACCAACACCGTACCGTACCGTCTCGTCCCGGTACGGTACGGTATAGGAAAAAAAAGAAGTAAGGCGGTACGGTACGGTACGGTATCGATAAGCCACGGTACGGTACGGTATGCGGTATTAGATGGCTATACCGCACTCCCGCGCCATAGTCAGAAGAAGCCTTCTAACAATGATTTCCGAGGATATGTATCATAGTTTTTTCATTCGCGTTTAAATCTTGACAGGAATTCAATAAAACTAAACATTTCTCCCTCTTTTATTCTCATCTTTTATATTTCTTGTTCTGTTATCAAAAACAAACGAACATTAATTCGATCCTAATACATCAGATTACGATGTCAGTGAACTATCATCATTGTCGTATATTTACAACCAATTGATATCAATAAATGCTGTAAGAGAAAGTTTATCATCACCAACCTTTTGCTTTTTCTCGTTAATGATATTGTTTAATGAAAAGCACAGATAAGTAACTCATCGACTCTTTTACTGAAACCAAGCTAAGGTACGTCTTGAATGTCGTCAAATCTTTTGATGTGGCTTAGTTTAGCTAAAAAATGAACGTCGCGTCCTATCTTTAGCTCCACAATTCAGTCTACAAATACATCTGTAGCTCTTAGTTTAAAATTGTTAATTTATTTAAAACTTGAAATTAAAACGAAAATAAATAAAATATCTGAGATTTTATATGTATATATATCTACATTTTTGACCGTTACTTTTCCGTGCCTGATTAAAAATATAATCGTTTAATGATTCAACAGTTTTTAATGCGCAATAGGATTTCACATATTATTCTCGATAATCCAAATGATCAAAATCATGTAATTCTAACTATTGTTAACATTCACTTGCTTTTTTCCACGAAGTTCAATATTACTGACGTTTCAGAGAAGTTTTTAAATTTTGTTTCACACAAGAGTTGCTTAACAATATTCATAAGTTTCAAACAGCAACATATCTCTCAACAAAGATAACTGAATTAAGTGATAAAAAACGATCCCACCATGTCTTTATCTGAGACTTCATCACCTTCCCAATAATTGATTTTTCTATGTAGTCACTCCAAAACTGTCTGATTTCTTAGTGCTCATTCTAAAGAAATAAAAACAATTAATAGTGCAACAGATGTAGACAGATATAAAATCTTTTGTTATGATGATGATGGTTTTCGTAAAGCTGCGCAACACTGTGTGTCAGTGGGATCATATCATGCATTCTTGAAATACTTTTTACGCATATGTTTATAATTACAAGTCTATGTATATTAATACTTTCCTATCGATATTCTTCGGAAAAGGAACTTATATGACATATATGAAAGGGAACAAGTTAGAATCACTCTGAAAAAAATTCGAAAATTTTTTGTCGGCGGTACGGTATTTCGCGAGACGGTATGCTCAGAACCTGTGCGGTAACGGTACGGTACGGTATCAGATAATTATCAGGCGAGACGGTACGGTACGGTATGGAACTAAAGAAGACGGTATGCGGTACGAGACGGTATTAAAATTTTGCAATACCGTCGGTCTCTGATTTGATCAATATCGTTAGGACTCCATTTTGGACTCTTGTGGCATTTTATTCTGATATGATAATTCAGGGATGTGAAACACTGATGTACCAACTTGCCTGATGACGATCCCGTTAGCAAGAATCGAAATCGCGATCGTAAGTAGCTTGGGATTCCAATTGATTCTCACTCTTTGGAAATTCTACGATTATATTATCTTCTCGATCTTAAGTATTTATCTATTACTGAATGTCTTCAAGTTTTCTTGTTGACTCTTATTCTAGATTGACTTTTGTTATTGTGAATTTAATCATGTAGAATAACTATTCCGAACTTACCTGATGATGAACAGGATAAGCTCTGTTCGAAACGCGTCGTAAGTAGCTTGGAATTCCATTTGATTCTCACCCTCACCCTTCAAAGTAAAAAATGAAAAAGCTTGAATGACTAAAACTCAATAATGTGTTTGCCACTTTAATGCGCATCTAAACTAAAACATTTGCTTGAGCCGTCCGACGAGTCCTTTAGCATGGACGAAATCATGATCGTGGCAGCTATACTCACCACAACGATAACGATACCTACCTTATCTTCAAATTTCTTTGAAATTTGCTGATGAAATTTGACAGGTCTTAGTACTTTGTTTATGATTCTTGCAATCATTTGAACAAGCACTATATCGAAGCCACCTGAAGAGTCCTCTAGCAGGGACGAAATCATGGTCGTGGCAGCTATACTCACACCCTCACCCTAGAATATTTCATCCGATAAATCTTCGATGAAAGTCATTGATGTTCTAAAAACACAATAATTATATAGAAATAATTCGTTTATTTTCCTTATATATATTACACTTCTAAATTATTGTCAATGATACGTTGATTATTTTGTACGATTTTATAATAAAATCGATTGAAACGCAATTCTCGTTTCTCTTGGTTCATATTGTAATATATTAAAGAGACGTGTGTGTATATGTAGATGTAAACAAATATATACTTGTTCGTCCGTTGGTACTACTTTACTTTGAACACAGCACCCACACCCTCACAAACATTGTTAAATACGTAATATGAAGATGTTTTTCTTATCTTTCGTTTTCATTGTTATCATGTATGACGTTATCTTCTTGTAATTGCAAAACAGAGATGTCATTACTTAGGTAATTTACACTATATTAATATTTAAATGTGAAAAAATTCTTCATTTTTCTTCACTTATCACAATGTCACCACTTATTTTATTCATTCTTCTTTCTCAAACATTTCTGAGCCAAGGCGCAATACTTAATTGTGATTTTGAAACAGATTGTAAAGATTTTTATTTGTATGATTTGGCTAAAACAGATGGTTACAATCCCCAACCTATCGATCATGATCATACATTAAATATAAAAGCTGGCCATTATATTTACTATACTGGAACTGCCCCAAGAGGACTCCAAATTCAAGCTTACAATTGGTTAGAGCCTTCAACTGATCGACCGTTATGTTTTCGAATGTGGTATTATTCTTCTCGAATAGAACATCTGTTCAGTGTTCAAACTGCCCAAGGTGAAGGACAAGAATTGATGCGTACACTCGCTTCAGTTTTAGATAAGAATGCTTCAACTGTTGATTGGACATTAATCGATGTAAAATTACCAAATGAAAAAATCAAAATAAACGTTAAAACATATATAACACAGCTACATTTAACATTTGACGATATTTCTGTGGATTATTGTGATGGTCAACTGCCTCCACCTCCGAAAGTTTTATATACGTGTGATTTTGAATCATCTTGCTCAAACGATTTTGTTACATTACCGATATATGAATATCAATGGTTAATATCAACTGCAACTAACGCTCGTAGAATCGAATGGTCTGCTCCAACTGCTGATTATACATTTGGAAATAGTTCAGGACATTATGCATTTGTGCCCGTTTCCAATATAGTCGGTAATGGTAAAGTTGGCTATATACATTTAAAAAAACAATTCCAAATAACATCTGAAGAATCGTACTGTTTGAATTTTCAATATTATGTTTATCCAACAACAAGTTATGCCAGTCATTTGAGAATTTATTCATGGGCTTCAGATGAATCGAAAGCAATTAAAGTTTTATGGCCTAAAGCCGAATCAGCATATCACATGTAGATAATCTTTAAGAAAACTAGTTTAATTTAAACTTTCTCTTTTCTCACTTTTAGAACTGGCGGTCGATGGTACGTTGACGATATTGACATCATTTTTTTTTTAAATTGATATTATTATTTTCTATATTATAGGGGTTGGGGTATTATTAATTTACCAGTTGGTAACTATTCACTTCTGTTTCGTGTGGATACTTCTATTTGGAAAGACTCGTTCGCTCTCGATAATATTGATATTATTTCGTGTGATTATCCTCCTTCATTTACTCCATACGATTCTCTTCTTTCTTTCTCATGCAATTTTGATACTTTGACAATGTGTGAGATGATGAATGATAAGAATTCGACACTTAATTTTACAACATCTACTGGTGATACAATACCTGATCAAGAACTTGGTCCAGCTCGAGATCATACACATAATTCAACATCTGCTGGTTTTCTCTACTGGAATCAAAATTTGTCAGCAGTCAGTGCAAATGATAGAGGTCGTGTATATCTGTCAAAAAAAATTCTGCAGAATACTGGTATGTGTATTAAATTTGCTTATTATGTCAAATCAAAACTATTGAATAAAAATACAACAGTAATTCGTCTATCCAGTGATGAAAGTTCTAGTACCGTATTATGGTATCAAGTATTAAGTGATAGTCAAGGATGGCAGATAGCTTTGGTACCTTTAACCAACATTACTAGTGCAATAACATACTCTTTTGAAGTTTACCGACTCGAACCAACATTGACAGCTGTTGCTTTCGATGATATTGAAATTGACCAATGTAGTTCTGTCATACCAACTACTACAAGTACATTAACGACACTTACAAGCACATCGACAACTACCACTCCTACTACCACTACTACATACACATCAACAATTATTATAACTACAACAACAACTACTACTACGACTACAACACTTCACAACAATGCTCCTCAGCTATTTCCTTTAAATACACGTAGTTTGATAATTTATTTTTTTCTTGTTCAAATCTTTCGACATTTCTATTAAAAAATAAAATAACTGGTAGTCTATCACCTGGTTTGAAATCTTCTTGAGAGTGACAGTGAAGATAGCATATTAACAGATCAATTCCATCCTCAAACTCATTATCTACAAACTTAATCACAGTATCAGAAAATGATTGAAATAGAATATTTTGTCAACCTATGCTGAATCAGTCATGTTTCGTATTTTCAATTCTGCAAGAGATTGCACTGAAAGCTTTTTTATTTTATTGCCTATAAAAATAAAGTATTCAGTGTTTGATTATTATGATTATTCTTTATACAAAATAGACTGTCATGTTTATTTTTTTGTAAAATTTTCGAAATGTCGAAAGTTATTGGAAAAAGAACAACTGCATTGTTATAGAATACACTTTGCCTGTTCTGCTGGTAATAAAAATAAATTATAGAAATATTTTTATGTACTTCACAACGCTTATTTCTGTTTTTATCTATCATTTCAGTGTAAATAAAAGACAAGGTGTATGTCTAATTACAATACTCTTGAGCACTTCATCATCTTTTGTTTTCGCTGCTCGTCACGGTTCAAATACACAATCATTTCGTATAAAATTCACATTATAACTTCTCCAATATTTACTTATTATGGACGGTACTTTGCCTCACACACCCTCACCCTCACCCACCCCTCACCCTCACACCCCACACCCACACCCTCACCCACCCTCACCCTCACACCCACACCCACACCCTCTTTTTGAAGTTCCGTCCAATATAATTCTAAGACGATGATGACCCTCTCGATGGATTTGTTTGATTATGTTTAGCTGAGGTTCATATTTATTTCTTTTATTTGTTTAATATTTCTAACCATTCTGTTTTAAGGATCAGTAGCCGTTTGTATGGCTGCTGTAACGAACTTTGTTGGTCTAACTATTTGTCGTTTTCTACTTGGTGCCTTCGAAGCTGATTTTTTTCCTGGTGTTGTCTATTTTATGAGTCTTTGGTATCCAAGAAAAATGCAAGCTGTTCGACTTAGTGTATTTTGGTCGTTTTCAGCATTAGCAGGTACATTTGGTGGTTTGATCGCTTATGGTATTGGTCAAATAAAATCATCACAAGTTGCTCATTGGCAATTGATTTTCATTGTAATTTATTGCAAATTTTGTAATCATTGTTTGTTTTTGGAGATTTCAATTTAGATTGAAGGTTTTCCGACTATTTTAATGGCGGTATGCTGTTGGTTTCTATTACCTGATTCACCTGAACAAGCACGATTTTTGAGTGCTGAACAACGGCAACTTGAAATCGAACTTATAGCTGAAGATTCTGGTGCATCTCATAATCATTTATTTTCTTGGTTACAAGTGAAATCTATATTTACTGATTGGAAAACGTATACATATGGTATTATTTATTTAACAGGATCAATAGCTGTACAGGGTGTGACACTGTTTTTACCTTCAGTGATTGTTGGATCAGGAAAATGGACACCAGTTCAATCACAATTGATGACTCGACCACCATATGTAGTGGCTTTTATTATTACAATTTTACTTTCCCGTAGTTCGGATTAGTAAAAGGACGGGGGCGCTTAAAAGCGCCCCCGTCCATTAATCTATAGAGCAACTCAATAGGGATAAAGTTGGTCGTCTATGTGAATGTATTACAGTTCGCGAACGATTCATTATTCGAGGTAGAAGATTGCATCATGGTGCTCAGACATCCTCAAAACAACAAATTTCAGTGCCATTGATAACAACAGTTAGAATAAATATCAAATCATAATCAATGTTCATGAATATACTTAAATGTTGTTGAAGAAAACTTTCAAACGATCTGACGTGTTACTTTCAAGATAAATATTATCAGATAAGACGAAGAAACAATGACGAATGCAAAATTAATTCATACAAATCTGTAAGTATATCATTTGTTCTATATTCAGAATATTAAAAAAGAAGAAAATGATAGTCAAAATTGTTTTACTCATCTCATTGATTCACAATGTTTATCTTATGGCAATTCCAACACCACCAAATCCAAATCAATTCACAATAACAGCTGGAAAACCCGATGGTTCACCCCAAATCGAAGTAACCACAAATTATGTCGATCGTTTAGCTCAACTTTTTCGTATCGATGTTACAAATTATGGTATCATCACTGAACAAGCATTTTACTATGGAGAAAATCAAACGGGATATCTTCTTTACTATGACAAACAACCAACTCGATGTCACAAAGTCAAAGAAAACTATGCAGATATGTTAGCTGATTGGCAAAAATTGCCATATGCTGGTAAAACAAATGCTATTAGTGATCCGAAAATTGAATGTAATATGTGGAATGAAACTGATCAAAGTTGGACATGGAGTTATCTTGCATCAATTAAAGATAATAGACCAATTGAAATTTTAGATAATAGTATTCTGATTTCAGTTTTTACGAATTATACAATTGGACCTGCGGTTGTACCGAAAAAGATTTTCCATTTACCCGTTCCGGAAAGTCGATGTGTACCAAAAGATTAAATTTTCATTTGCATTTTTAATAAAAGAAATTTTGTCAGAAGATAATTGATGCATACACACACATGACATCACATTCCATTTTTTCATTGAATTCTTTGAAAATATGTCATTAGAGCTTTCATTACATTGCGAGTTTTTTTATGAAATTGAATCAAAGTTAATGATGATGGTGTACATTCGCATGTGCGTCCTGGATAATCATACAAAAATATAATTGATGACAAGGCTCGAAGATAACAAAGTCAATATTTACTTATTGATTTTAATATTGTCTACACGGCATGTGATAAGAAGAACACTAGGACGTAAAGACTGACCTTCGGATTTTCACATCGAATTAAAGGTGAGATAAGCAACAAAATTTACAGTGAAAGTGAACATACAATTCGTTCAATTTGAAAATAATCGAACTATGGATATTATTATTCATATCAAGATTAGTTTTTTTACAGCTCACTTCTCAATGATCAGTCACATGTGAAAACTCAAAAGATATCAAATTCAAAATAAATATCCTTGCAAATATCTCATCCTCGTTTGATTCTTCACCGAAACTGTATCTCATTTCGGCGAAAATCACTCGTCCTACACGATGATTATTGTTATCATGATTCAAAAAATTATGAGTAATAACTTACACGTAGGGTATTTTGATTTATTATTCCGTGAGTACACATCACAAACAATCTAAAGAATGAATAACAATCATTCAGACACAATGGAATTGGTCATCCAACACCATCTGTTATTTTCACACGATAGAAATCGATCCGCATCTGCCCAGGTTCTCATCATAATCGTATATAAAGTACGGTGAAGATCTATGAAAACACATCGGCGTCGGTTATAAACTTCTGTGTATTTCAAACAACAATAATGGAATCCAAATTTATACTTCTTCTTCTTCTTCTTGTTGGCTATGCTTCGAGCAATCCATTGACTCGTCCAGCTCTTCCACATCAATTTGCCAACTACATCAACCCATTGACTCGTCCAGCTCTTCCACATCAATTTGCCAACTTCATCAACCCATTGACTCGTCCAGCTCTTCCACATCAATTTGCCAACTACATCAACCCATTGACTCGTCCAGCTCCAGCTGAACACGATGATCATTACATCAATCCATTGACCCGTCCAGCTCCAGCTGACCATGATGATCACTACATCAACCCATTGACCCGTCCAGCTCCAGCTGAACACGATGATCATTACATCAACCCATTGACTCGCCCAGCTCCAGCTGAACACGATGATCATTACATCAACCCATTGACCCGTCCAGCTCCAGCTGAACACGAAGACAACTACATCAATCCATTAACACGTCCAGCTCCAGCTGACCATGATGATCACTACATCAACCCATTGACCCGTCCAGCTCCAGCTGAAAACGATGATCACTACATCAACCCATTGACTCGCCCAGCTCCAGCTGAACACGATGATCACTACATCAACCCATTGACTCGCCCAGCTCCAGCTGAACACGATGATCACTACATCAATCCATTGACTCGCCCAGCCCCAGCTGATCATGATGATCATTATATCAATCCACTCACTCGTCCAGCTCCAGCTGAACACGATGATCACTACATCAACCCATTGACCCGTCCAGCTCCAGCTGACCATGATGATCATTACATCAACCCACTCACTCGCCCAGCCCCAGCTGAACACGAAGACAACTACATCAATCCATTAACACGTCCAGCTTGGTAAATTGCGGAAAAAGAAGAAAGGTTACATTCGTAAAGATTTTTCGCAGTGACTATGGAGTTTTTTTTTGTAGACATGTCTTAGTGTTTTAAGATGGTTTTCTGAAGTGGATGTTTTAAAATGTATTGTGGGTATTATTTCTTGTATTTTTGGTCGCAATAATAATCAAGGTGTCAGGATTTTGTTTTTTGTTGGGAAGCAGTTGTACTATAGTGTTTTTCTTGGCTAATTCTATTATTTTCATGGAAAAAGAATAAAAAATTTGATTTTTCTCTTTAGCTTTGTCTTTTGAAGCCTCAATAAAGTATAATATAAATTAGATTTACATAACTTTTCTGACTAAACTAAAACCTAGAGATGATTGTCATATTATTAGTGATTATAAGAGAAGAATGAAAATAAAATATAAATGCAGGTACATTTTTTAAATGTCATGTGCGTACGGAATACAATTTGATTTCTTCTAAATATAGTTCGATAGTAAAGAAAAAATAAGCCAGCTTTTTATGAATAGATTTTAATACATTCACACATCGGCTAATGCACAATAGTATAAATCAACGTGGTATTTTTCGATTTAACTAAATTCCGAGTGAAGTTATTGTTACAATAAATTTGTGAGTGAGATAATCTTTTTATTGTTGTATCATCGTGTCGTGAATGAAGATTATCCATTGAAAAACCTTCTGTGCGTTCGTTAAAATTCATTCCTTCTTGTCCAATAAGATATTTGACGAAAGCAACAATTCAGATCGGTGGATTTTGACAAAATAATGAATGACGATAAGTGAGTTTGAAATAAATATATCGCTGTGAAGGTAGCACGGCCTGTTTAAATGTACTTGAAGTTCTGAACAGTATACTTTCTTTTTCATCTTTTTCTATATGAAAACACTATTTCATTAACAGTTCGAAAATAATTGCATTTGAACGATTTGTTCGATGCAGAAGATGAGAGTTACTCAACAGTCGACGAGATGATTTTCTGAAAAAAGCTGTAAATTTTATTGCAATGCACGTAATTGATACAGAAAATGGTGACATGAAAAATTTGTTTGTCAAACGATATTTTTCCTATATAAGATATAGAAGATGAATGGGAAAAGATGAGACTATATCAAAAAAGAATACACTCTCACTCGACCGTAGCCTATCGGAATTGGTATTTTGTTTCGAAAAACATACATGACAAGACGTAGCGAGCGATAAGGAAAGAAAAAACATACGTCATATATGACGCATACCAGAACTCGATATGGAATCAGAGAACGAAGCAGAAAAAGATTTTCCTTCATCCCATGTTGTTATTTCTTATATGAGTAGTGTAGAAATCGTTAATTCGATTCGAGTTTTCAATTTTTAAACTTCTAAATCTACAATTCGAAGTTTCGAGTTTTCCGCTTACCAACTCGTAAATGATTGATCGTAAATCCTTGAGTGACTAATTATTAACTATTATGTAATAGTTAATTAAAAATTTACCAACCGATTACTTATTATCAATCAACGGACTATCAAGTAATTGGCATCTGAATATTAAATACTACATAATCATTTATTCACTATATGACTATCACTTATCAGCCAACCAACGGTAACGAATCTCGTTCACATTGATCCTGACTACGCCGTTGTAGGCTGCACCCTCCTCAACACTCACACCCTCAAGATCAGTTAGTTAATAATTGATAGGTAGTTAATCGTTTGATGATTAGCATTTAGTTGGTAGATATTTAATAGCCAATTAGTTAAGAGTTAAAAACTCGAATAGTCTCTTCGACTTTTACATGTATGTCCTAATGATGATTATTATTAAATTCAAAGGTGAAGAACATTTTTTGCAATAGATAACTTTTACTTTATACAAACCAAGAAGTTTTCGGATCAACTTCAGATAGAATATTTGAAGTTGCCTTGTCATCCTTTTCATTGTCGAAGCAGCTGAACTGAGATCATAATAATGCCCATTATTTATCGATTTTCTTCTAATAGCAATCAGTCAATATAAATCCCGACGATCTTAGAATTCACATATTTATAAGATTCTGCATCATTTGATCCTTCGAAGAATTCACATATTTTTATTTGCTACATACAACAATCATCAGAGAAAGTCATTCTGACAGAGATTTTTCTCTCCACGAAAATATTTCATCGTATTACAAATTTATCTTATTCATATTTGTCCCGTAAACCCTTGAAACACACGACTGATTCACACATCCAAAAGTATCGCTCTGTGCGACTGTTTTTCTCCTTATTAAGTAAGAAAGGAAGCATCGAGACATTAAAGGAAAAGAATGCATGAATAATTCGTCAGTCAGAACGCGCAAATACAGTGCAGTTACACGTGTTACTTTCATAATAGTGTAGCAATCGACAGCACCCCCTTTTTCCTATTTCTCACCCTTATAAGACGAGGTATTCGCTTTTACTTTTTCTTCATACGAGAATTTGACTGGAAAAGAAAAAATGTCGAACACTTTTACTGATTTACTAGGTGAACACCTTCTCCAACACGAAGAATCGGGTGAAAACAACACGGAGACTTCAACTGATCAACTCAATGGCAAATACGTTGCTCTGTACTTTTCGTAAGTCATTCAAAGTATCCTTGAATCTATATTTACAAATCCCATTGCATATCTTAGTGCTCATTGGTGTCCGCCGTGTAAACGATTCACACCAAAACTAGCGGAAATCTACAAAGAAGTCAAAGATGAAGTCAAAGACAAGTTGGAGATCGTCTTTGTTTCGTGTGATGAAGACGAAGAAGAATTTAAACATTATTTCAAAGAAATGCCATGGAAAGCAGTTCCTTTCGCCGGTAAATAATCATGAAATTTACAGAAGAAAAGAGAGTCATCGAGACTTCTTTTTCTTTAGACCGTCAACGTTCACAAAAATTAGGAGAGAAATTTGAAGTTGAAGGCATTCCATCATTAATTGTGCTTTCACCATCCGGTGAAGTGATCGATTCCGATGGTGTTGCTGAAGTAGGTGCTGCAGGCAAACAGGCTGTTCTCAAGTGGGCAGAAGGAAAGCGTTTGTTTTGGTCACGTGACGCCAAAGAAGGAGAACATGTTTGGCAAAATATCAGCTGTTCGAATTGCTTTATGAGTCCAATCATGGGTCCACGTCACGGCTGTACCCAGCGAGAATGCGATGTTGATCTATGTTCATCATGTTCAGCGCAGAACAAACATGAACATCCACTTGTGGAATATCTTATACCGGGAAAACATTATTCGTTAGAAGAACTTTGTCAATCGGTTCCTCATTTACTTGATCCAAATAGTGAAGAGACACTCGAAACGAAAACATTGTGGCAAGATGGTGTGAAAGCTGTTGGATTTTACTTTTCTGCTCATTGGTGTCCACCTTGTCGACAATTTACACCGAAATTAGGAGAAGTTTACAAACAAGCTCAAGAAGATTCGAAAAACTTTCGAATCGTTTTTGTGTCAAGTGATCGAGGTGAAGAATCGTTTAACGAATATCGAAAAACAATGCCCTGGCCTGCAGTTCCATTAAACTCCGGTTCACTTCTCAAAGCGTATTTTCAATGCTCAGGTATATTAACTTTCCTCCTTCATCCTAAAACTATTCTATTTGTGTATCTTTAGGCATTCCATCGTTGATTATTCTTTCATCGGATGGTAAATTATTAACACGTCGTGGCCGAGATGATGTTTCATCAAAAGGTGTTGAAGCTTTGAAAGTCTGGGCTCGAGGAGAAAAAGTTCCTCTTCCTCCACCTGAAGAATACGAATGGTCACATGTTTCATGCGATGGCTGCAGTGCAGCTCCACTTATAGGTCAACGATACCATTGTGAAACATGCGGAAACTACGACTTGTGCGCAGCATGCGAAAAGAAAGGACACGACCATCCATTGAAACTCATCCCCCAACCAACCGATGAAGATGATTAAACTCGAAACTGATCAGCTCTTTTTTTCATGAAATTTTCTTTTCATAATAAACAAGTTTCACTTTATGCAGACGACGAATACATTGGAATTAATCTTAGTCTAGTTTTCAATGGATGATTTTCACGGTATCTGAAGTTGCGTTGTCGTTCTTTCCATTGTCGTTCCCAGATTTCAATTTGATAAACGATTCGAAAGAAGAAGAATTTAATTAAACGAACAGTTTTCCATCGAAAATGTCTTCCGGATAAACAATAAATGTAGAAATTCAACGAACAATTGCCTAAAACGGATAATAAAACCCACCAAGTCTCATGTGCTTCAACTGTCATAATGTGTCCAGCAATATGCGAGAAAAGTGAGAAAAGAAAAAGACAAGAGTGAAGAATTAAGACAAGATTCATCCATGACGTCACTTTTCTTCGTTTCTTCGACATTTTATGTTCATTTGTTCGTTTCAATTGACGGGTTGTTTGGTAAATGCTATATAGAATACAAATGTTGAACGTAACGATGGCAACAGCTGGGAACAATTCCGAGAAAAAACAGCGGACTGTGTGGTGGTTGAAACCTAGATGTACTTCAAAGAAATATTTTTTCCATTTTAATGAAGCATTCGAACTGAGGCCACAATAATAATGAATCAAATCTCGACTTGTATTACTTGCTGATTCATTTCTAAAGACAACAAATCGATATTCGGTAGGGAAAAGTCGCTTTTCTTACTCGGTAGTTTGTGGTTGATACATATAAACAGAAGGAGCAAGTGTACCGATCAGAATAAAACTGAGAATGACAAGTGGGATAGCGATTTTCAATTGACTTGTATTCCATCGGTGAAATAAGGTTCGTAATCGGTCGGAAATGCAGGTTAAACGTTCGAACATCCAGAAAAGCGTTATCCATGATGAAATAACACGAAATGAAAACGCCATTTCATAGATTTTACACGCATACCAAGAATATCCAACTAAATAATTAATAAATATTCGTGATTTCGAATGTAAAATGAGTGCATATCGAATTGCACAAAAAAGATTGATAATAGAAGTTGAACTTGCCAAATAAACATAAATGGTCGATATTCGCCATGTTTGTTGAGACGAAGAGAATATAAGAAGACCAAATAAATTACCCAAAACTCCCAAGACAATCAAAAACCAACATAAACTGTCAGTAACTTGTACTCGACGACTGAAAGTATCGATGCTTTGAAGAATAATTGACATATGTTGATTGTTTGTCACCATTGTAATCAAAATCAAGATTCTAAATACAAAAATCTCCTTTGTTAAACTGAAAGTGTACTTCCTTCCTCCACTCTATTATTTATATAAGATTCATGACAAATTTTTCTAGTCTTCATCTCGTCTAAAAAATTAATACAATCGAATAAATGTTGTAAAATACTAACCTTCACCTTCAAGCTTTCTTCAATGACACGAGAAGTCCTATGAAACTATTTTTAAGATATTTTATACGCATTGTCATACTGAATTCTATATTCGATTCATTTTCTAGAAAATTCTTATTCAACATAAATCGGTATATCTAAGATCTTGATGTATGACTAAAGAATGAAACTCAACATCGCCATTCTTATTATTCTACGTCTCCGAGAAAACTGAGACGAAGGAAAAAGCTCACAATCAGTGAAAAATTGTTTTATTTAAGAAAATCCTTTGTGTTAGCTACTAAATGGAAAAGTCATATCGATATAATCGGATACACGGTGTTTTATACTTCTTTTTTAGATTAACAAATGAGTAGCACCACCTCCAAGTTTCCTTTTCTAAAAACAGAAACATTGTTCAAAGTCAAAGGACAACCTTCAGAACTCGTTCATTTGAAAAGAGCTTTTAAGGGCGTTGTTTTCTTTGTTTTTACAAAATTATTCAACAAAGTCAACAAGTTTCTCACTTGAAACCATTCCGATGGGAAGTTCTTGATTATGTAAAATTTTCTTCGAAGCATTTTGTGTAGAATCTCCTCTTTCATGACTTGTTTCCCGGAATCGAAGTTTTTCCAAAAAAAAGCTTCCTTCCTGTTTCACCTATTCTTTGTTAAGTTCAATGAGTCTTTCAAACATTCTCACTTTGTCGAATTCGTTTTCGTGATTGACATTGAAAAAAACATATGAACAGTGCAGTTGAAGGTATTTACAAATATATATGTGCATTTCAGTGAATAGAAGAACGAGAGAAAACGAACATTTGTATTTACAAGAAAAGAAAAAGAACGTCGAAAGATACATGAAGAAGCAGAAAAACGACAAACATCTCTTGAATAAAACACATAAGAAATCGAAGCGTCACTGGGAAAATAAACTACGACGATAAATAGAGAGATCGCGACTATAGAAAAAGAGAAAAACTGTCACTGGCACTGTTTGTTATGAGAATTTTCGAGTTTACTGTTCCTTGACCTGAAATAAAGAATGGAAATCATGGAGAATTTCAAGGGTAGTCAACGAACTTTTGCAATTTGTTGTTGTTCGGTACATTCATTCAAATCTAATTGAACAAAATCGTCTTGAATAGCGTTCGATGAAATGATTTCCATATCATCAGCAATTGGTTCGTCTTTATCTTCAATCATAGATGTTTGAGTTGCATTGGTATTGTAATATTTTGTTTTCTCAATATCAGTCGGTTGATTAATCATTAATTCGGGTAAATTCGGTCGAGTCGATGAACAGAGTTTACGAACGACGTCAATCTATTCGACATTTTGTTTAGAAGAAGGTCATCGTTGCAAAGAGAAAATAAACTTTACCTGATGAGGTGTTCGTATTTTCGCCATAACATGATGATTATGAATCAATTGTCGATCGGCACATGACTCACATAAATCATAATCAAAACATTCGAGACATTTGTAACGAACACCAATTATCGGCGAACGATTACAACCTATTCAAATCGATAATTAGAAAATCTAGGAAAAGAAATTTACGAACCATCACAAATAACTCCAACGTGTTTTGGTGGAAGAAGTTTCAACGGTGGAACATCGTCTTTAATAAATTTAACGAAAACTCGAAGTAATTGTTGGCGTGATGCCTGATCACGTGCAGCTTCGTTTATACCATCAGAGTTTGTTGCTAATACAAGACCACGGATATCATCTAACGAAGAGAAGATGTTTCACAAGAATGAAATGCTTTTAGTTTTCGTTTACCTTCGTATTGAAATTCCAGATGAATTCCACTTTTCGAAGACATCAATTCCGGAAAGAATTGCGAAAGTTTTTCACGTAAGATTGAGAGAACATTTGTGGAAGCAGTTAATAATGGGATACCAATTCGACGATATTCACTTGTACCGTCTAATTTTATAATACATAATTTAACTTCAACCATGTTTCTTTTTTGCTCCTTCTAAAAATCACGAGAAAAAAAAGTATTTTGCTTTTCAGACGTATTCAACTAAATCAAGGTTCGTCATTTGTTTCATTTATCGTATTCACATGATGTTCTCCTTTACTATTAGGACAAAAATATTCTTGTGATTTATTTACCAATCATAACAACGAAATAAAGTGATAAATATTTTTCATGCGATGAGTCATCTTCATAATCATCTATTGATTATTAACAATTATTTCGATTGTTTTGGACACTTTCCGGAAAAAATATTTTTCGATATTTAGAAATATTCAATTGGCATAATCATTTGAATAATTTCCTTTCACTGATTGTATGAGAGCGACATCTATCGACTCGGTCTAGATTTTCTCATTAATATGTGTCGTTTAAAACACTATCCTTCGCTGTTCATCTCCAAACAACAAAAGTTGATCATTTTATTTTACTCTCGTTCTACTGAATATTGATTTTTTAGATAATACAATGGATGGTACTGCTTCTTGGGTACAACCCCCGAATGTCGACGACGAAGTAAGAAAATGAACAAGAATGATTGTCTCTCAATTGTCTCATTGATGTAGATGGACCGAATTCACATGGCTAACAAAGACAATACGGAGAAAATTGAAAACAAGAAGAAAAAAATTTAAATTTTGAAGCAAGAGATTGAAAAGTTGTACAATCAACGAGATGACTTTAACAAACGTTTAAAAAAGATGGGAGAAAAGAAACGTACGAAAAAAAAGCTCTTTTGTTGATATTTTCTGTTTCTCTTTAGATAAAAAGCGTAAACGACATGCTTCCGTCTGAAGAAGAGAGACAAGAACATTTATGACACAAGATTAAATCTCAACTGATGGAAAATAACGAAAAAAGTCAGTTGAACGTTCAACAAATCCTGACGTTAACAGTTGTTTTATCTTCTTACAATTGCGACGTGTTTCTTGTCTTGTAAAGTTCTCTGTTANATTTTCAGTTGATTTAAATTGGGATAATCTGCAAGAACTAAGATACGTTGCATTGATAATGGATTAAACGCCAAAGATTTCACATGGTGATGAATTTTGGGTAAGATATCGTTATAAAATCGATCGATTAAACAAATATCATTAATTGATGAAAAATTCAGACTGTTGGTGAAAATATTTTCTTGAACGAGAAGATTTAATCGTTCATTGTTAATACCAAACAAAGAATAAAGGACATCAATATTGTTCAAATTCTTTAGAATCAAAAGTAACATTTCATTTGGCAAAGACAAAAGATTCATCTTTGAGAGCGTCATATTAAATAAGAAGTGAATTGCTCAGATAGGAATAAAATATATTTATGTGTCTACGTCGCTTTATTCTCGTCATAGAAGGTTATATCAATGCCATTGTTGTATTGCGACTGAATTCATCTTTTAAAGCAATTTGTTCGTTCAGTCTGTTTGTGAAGCAGGTCAAGTCATTGATATAAAAAATGGCACTGTGTAATGCTTGATTTAATATTTGTACTTATTAAATATTGCTTTTTATACTTCAATGATCTATTAGAGATGAATATGATTCAGGTTTTGAAATATTTGAAGTGATTATATCTGTAATTCATTGACATTTATCTTCATACTATTAATTTCGCATTGTCGAAGGAAACGTTTTCGCAAAACGAAATGTTTTTTTCTTGCGTTGATCATTCTTTTTAAACTCATTCGATAGACCAAAGTAACAGATCTCATTCAATGTGTCAATTATTCTAGTCTAGCGTTTCAATTCAGTATTATGTAAGACTGTTGCGCTATAGTTGAACAATTGCGATACTACTCAAAATCGAAATTTTCTTGTGGTTTGGAATATGATTGATACCTGCTTCAATTCACATTCAGCTTGTTTATTTCACGTTCTGTTGATCCAGGGGTATTCATTTATTCTTGACGTGAACGTCATTGAATACCGGTTAATCGATAGGTTTCATATGAATACTTTTAAATTACAAAACAATTGTATTTTATCGAAGTGAAGCTGCATCGAAGATTGAATAACGAAATAGAAGTTGAATAAAAATAAATCTAATCGAACTTATGAGGTAGATTAAATATATTTCTAAATGAAAGAAATAATCTTATTTCCTTCTAGAATCTATTGTTTGATATTTATTGTCACGCATTGAATGTATGTCTACCGTGTGAATAGATGATCACAATCATTTCTCTATTCATTTAACAGCATGTGCTAAATTAAAAGTGCGAAAATAAAAGATGCAGATCTCCCGCTGTGCAACGAAAATATAACAAACATGAAAAACATCTGTTTCGTCGTGGAATGTTTCATCGAATAGTTCAAATATTAACTTTTTCAAGAGAATATTCGATAATCAATGATTATCTCTACAAGATATTGAAAACACTTGAAATTGTGAACAACTCTATTTGATATTGACATAATGACGCCAATAAGTCGCTCGTTGAAATGGTGCATTAATTGCCATCTCTCCAATTCGCTTTTTATTTCAAATACGAAATCAATGCATTTTCGCTGCGTTCAATCAAAGACGATAATCAACTTCTTCACATAAACTTTCAAACGATATAAATCGTTGTGAACATATTTACCTAAAAGATGTTCTTTTTTGTTAGCATACGATCAATGACACTAGTTTCGTCTGTCAATATTGACAAAAATCGTCTCGTATTTTCATAGACAAACAACGTTTAACTTTTATTTGAAATCAAAACGAACTTGTCTTCGCATATATCAATTCAACCAGATTTATTCGCGTGCGATTCACAGAAAATCTTTCTTTGCATCCACAAAATTTTCAGCACTGTTACACATCCACTCGATATTCAATGTAAGACATCAAATATTCTCGTATGTTCTTTCTATTGTTTCGATACACGTCGGTCGTGAACGGTCAGACAATCTCTTGTTCATTGAATATCCTTGACAAAAGAACAACAAAACAATGCGCGTGCATGGGAGAAAGAGAGAGAGTGACCGGATAAAGGGTCATTTCTTGAACTCAACCAATAAATGACAATGACCTTCGTATAAACCAATGGCAAACGAATATTTGTCATACTCCTTATATAAATTGACATGTATCTCAATGAACAAGTTACACAATTCAGCAATATCCAACTTACACAAGTAGGTCGAAGTATTTCATTCTTATACGGGAGACACTGTTCGTCTTGCCTCGCTCGACGATAATCAATGAAGCGAAGTTGGTCGATCAGTACCCTCCGATAAGATTTTATATACGCTATTATTCCTATCAGACCTTGTTGATACATACGGAAATGGCGATCACACTGTTCACACACCTCGCGCCGAGATTGTATTTAAAAAAAGTTCCGCTGGGTGGTGCAAACAGTCTAATTGCTTTTTTCCATTGATGCTACTTTAACGTAACTAGCACAGAGAAAAACTGTTCATCTAGCCTCGCCTTTGATTTTATTATTAAATAAACAGGCGGGAGCAGATTGCGACAGTCATTAAATGTGCTAACGCTCGTCGAATTATTTAAATTAAATAAGAAACTGTCTCTTATTTTAGAGTTGTGGTTCGAATGTAACCTTTTCCGCTGGGAAGATCCTGTTTTACTTTCACGGGATTGGGGAGTTTTTCTTTGATTGTCTCGTCGCTGACGTTTGTTGGTACCATAACATCATCGCCGGGCTATACGGAAAGGGAATGAATAAAAAGTGTTCTTTGTTGTAAGGAAGTGTGGTTTACTTTCCAGTCAACCGGCGTCGCAATTGGATATTTTTGAGATAGTTGCAGTGAATCGAGCAGTCGAAGAATTTCGCTAAAGAGAATGGATGAATTGACAGACAGAATGTCGCTTTGGATGAGTATTACTCGAAGTTTCGTCCACTCGTCGCTGGATACAGCAGTAGGGCTTTGACTTTTTTATCAGGGCCAATGTAAAATACCTGAAAGATCAGAATGAGTTGTGTGCTATTGTAGAATAGACGTTTACAAACTTACAGAGCGAGCAGTCAGTGGTATACCTTCGTTATCGGTTTCGACTGGGTCGATCATACCGAGTTTTGTCGCTATAGCGCGATCACTGTCGTCGATAATTGGGAACGGAAACTGTTTTGAACATTGATCCGTGATATCTGCATATGCATGAATGTCCTATCAATAGCAGGATAGTATTGATAGGAAAAAGAGAATGAAAGGTACTTCTATCCATTCGCGATGAAGTTCAACTGTATCACAGGATAAACCGATGAGCTTTGTATTTCGTTTAGCGAATTCAGGTGCAAGTTTTGCTGCACGCGCCAGTTCAGTGGTACAAACCGGTGTGTAATCTGCTGGATGAGAAAATAGAATACCCCACCTAAAGTTTCATATTGAACGAAAAGAATATTGAAATGAAAAGAAAATTACTGATCACCAAGCCATTGATGTATCTTTTGATCGCCGACAGTGGTCTTAACTTGATAATTTGGGAATTCTTGGCCTAGTCTCAATGACATTTCGATTGATAAACAAATAAGAGTGTGTCTAGAAGAGCGAAACAGACAAAGTTTATGGTCGAATGCATTGGTGTAGGTAATACAAAAATACATAAAAAGGAAGTAATATGCTTTGTGTTGTCTTGTCGTTGGTTGATCAATGAGGCTATACCTATTGATGTTGTGAAACAATACACAGGTAGAAAAACGAAATAGATTTGATGACGTTTGTTTGTTTGTTGTTAGAAAAGAAAGGTCGGTAGAAACAAAATAATTGGATTTTATTCTTTGTTGGATATATTATGGGTGTGTGTGTTTTTTTGTGTTAAATCGAAAACAAGGATACTCTTCCATCTGTCATTTGACGCTGAAATTTTGTGAGGATGTTAGATAGTATCTGTCACAGGTAGATCCATTCGTTAGAATATTTCTCCAAGCATATTCTTGTTGTCAATCTTATTTTGGTAAAGCATCAATTTCTCATATGCAAAAAGATGTTGTTGTTGTACATGTTTTCCCATAATTGTCGGGACTACTTTCAGAAATTGTCAAAGATTTGAAAGATCATCGGATATATTAAATGACTTCCGAATGTACTTTTTATAAATTGGTCAATATTTGAAATTAAACTCACCATTTAACACGATAGAAGAAGTATAGATTACAATACACATGAAACAGACAAAACAAAAAGATAACAGTTGATGAGTTACCAGAACAAGAAACGTTTCTATTTACATATATAATGATCGAAATTACTTTTCGTGGACAAGCAGTGATGATAAAAGAAGAGCAAATCAAATCGATCTTTCGTTTTCTCTAAATATACATTGGAATACTGGATACTTTTTTTGATAGGCACATCTTTCTGACGCAAATTCAACAAATGTCTTTTTGGCTGAATATGTTCGTCTATCCTTCCTACAGAAGATTTCGATATGCATTTCGATTCGCTTCTCTCGCTCTTTCTTCTTGCTGTTCTCTACGAGTTAACCAACGGTTTAAACGTAAATTCCACACAAGAACGAACTTACTGAAAAGCTGCGTACCTATTACAATATCAACAGGCAAATCAGGAATCAAAATAGGAGTGGCAAACGATAAAGTAACATCATTAAAAGCGTCAGGAGAAAAAAAATCGGTTGACATGTTGAATAAGAACGATCAGGAAAAGCAATATCACTCATAGAAGGACTAAAGTTGTCTAATGGTAATGCTTTCCTCAAGCCTAGAGCAAGTCGTTGTTGCATTGCATCATTGATGAAGACATATGTATTGTCGGGTATCCAAGACACAGTTGTTAATGTCATATGATGAACTTCGGATTCGTCTATTACACGCATAATGGATAATGTTTGCTCACATTCATTACCGACGACTAAAGTGAAATCGATCGATTGCATTTATTTACTGTCCGTCAAAATGACGAATAAATCTAAAAGAAAAGAAAAACGTTTATATATGTATGACAAAAGATTCATCTAAGTACTTGATGTTCTCGTCTCCCGTCTATTTATAACGTTTGGTCATTAAAATACACACATATATAGATAGATAAACACGTCACTACGTACGATTTATTCGATCCTTTCTCCTTCCAAACAAGATACAAAGTACGAACGGTTCCTCTTATTCTTTGTACAGAAATAGACTTTATTGAATAGAAAACAGTTCAGTATCAACTTAAAGGAGATTTGACAAGACCTGAATATAGAAGATGATTATTGCGGATAACGGCACGTTTGTTCTAACTTCTATCACCGAATGACTACGATGGTAGATTACCCGCTTTACTTTAGAGAAAACAAGATTCTTTTTCTCTCATATAAAATTTCATTACGATTTCAAATAAAAAGATTCATTTAGATCATTCAACAAGAGTTCTTGTAAGAAGTAAAAGCCAATTTATTCAAAGAGAAAGATAAACAATGGGAGGATTGCCTTCATCAAAAGACGTATGATATGACTTAAGTTAAAGAACGGTCCCAACAGAGGAATATACCAAGATGACTGAAGCGAATGAATAAAATCATGAGTATTATCTGATATATAGAACGATAAAATATTTGTTGCATAATTGAGCGAAGTATTCTACAAAACATCTGGGAGCTTTCGGTAAAGTTAAAAGCAGTGCACATGAGCTCTATCTCTTATAAATGTGTTATCCAGATCTGGGCTGATGGAGGACTAACGGATTATTCTTATACACAATTCAAATACGTATTTTTATTTAACTTCGTAGAATATGGCAAGCAGTCAAACAAACAACGAACGCTGGTTAGAAATGGATGTCACTTTGTTCAAACAGTCAGATGTCGAGAAAAAAAGCCGTAGTTCACTATCCGGCACAGAAGTACATATGATTCGCACGATGATCAAAGTTGATACAGGGTGTTGTGAGTTAGCTCTCACAGCATCTTTAGTTGAACAGCTTGATTTGGAATATTTCGATACCGTGTCGGTGTCCTCTAGTACAGATAACAATGTTCTTATAAAACGATACGGGCCAGTGCTTATTCTTTGGGAAAGAATCATCGCCCCTGCTTACGCTTATTGTATGCCATGTTTGAATGCGCCACTATTAGGTCTAAAACCACTGCCCAGGTCGATCATTCCGGCGACTGGATCCGTTGACATCTGAGTCGGTTCCGGCACAGTTTTCGCCAATTCTTGCAAGTTCCTTGCGGCCAGAATTGCACAGGAAATATCCGATCAGTTCCTGGCCGTTTCCAGCTCGAAGTTTGCAGGAAATGACTGGAACCTACGTTTGAACTTCCGGCCGGAACCGACCGTGCCATAATAGCCTGGGTATAGTTGCGCTAACTGTAACTGAATTGGCGGCAAGTGTAAAGCCAATCGAGTGAAATGAAAAAAAGCAAGCTAGTTTTATACGTTTTTACTTGATTAAAAATAAAACATTCGACAATGAAAAGATAAAAGTCGTCAAATATATCAGATAATCGAATAACACAAGCAATACGTAACGATAAGAATTAACGAGCTATAAAACAGTTGCTCATAACCACAAAGCCATCAGATCACTACACATCAATCCTGAGAAGCATATGTGAAAAAGAAGACAAGAACGAAAATTCATCCTTATTGGTATCAGATAACAACCATTCATTATTCTGTTGATAACCAAGTTGTCGAGAATAGAAGTCGTTAAGTCATGTACGCTTGTTGAAAAAATAGATCTTTTATGATAAGTTGAGCTTTGTTTGGAAGAAAACGACAGAAAGAGGAGGGAAAATGGTATTCGTGGAATTCGATTTTCACATCTACTACCAGGGTAAATATTGCCTAATCCAGAAGAGTTAACTTAATCACTAGTTTAGTATTGCGTAGCTCATCACAAACAGTAACAAGTTCACAAAAAGAATACTGCCTCGTAGCCTACAAGATTTATTTCACTCCCTGTCTACTACACGATTTCTGTCTTTCTAATTCTTTTCTTTCTACCGTATAAACACGTTTCTCACTAATAGTTTTCTTTCCTGTCTCTAACAAACATAGTCATATGACTTTTTCAAAACGAAACGACATTCGATAAAGTTTCCAATGACGTCATCACTACGCCCTGTAAAACGATATTCCATCGAACAATGTTTTGTTCCTTTATTGACTTCATCCGAATCATTCATTCTTAGTTACGATGAACATCCTCGTCCTTTAGTTCGCTTATTCAATAGTGGTTGCCACCAAATCATGTGTATTTACCTTCCAACATTATTAGTTGATATGTGCTATTCATCCTATTTGGATGTGTTTCTTCTTTTGTCAAGTCAATGTCTTTATAAATTAAATCCATCGATTGGCCAACTCGAACATATCGATGATTATGAATTACTAAAAGAAAATCGTTTTCTCTCATCTTTATGTTCAACAAATGATCATCGTTTGTTTATTTTGTATCGTTTTGGCGAATATTTAGATGAATATCCACGAGGAAAACGTATTTGGAAACGGCGACATTTGTGTGATTCAATTAGCGAAGATATCTCCTTGATTCGTTCGTCGTGTACAACTGATAATTCACATTCATTTCTTCTCGGTTTACTCATCGTCGAATGGAATGGAACATGGCGTGTTGATATTTTCTCTTCGTCGATACAGAAACTTCACACAGGTTTTCGTTTTAGTGGCTGGACACGTGATGTGTGGCTTTCCGATTGGTCACCTTACGAATGTTGGTTTGTTGGAAGTCGATGTCGTTTGATGATCGATTCGAAAGGACAACCGAAGAATATTTCAACTGATGAGTTCGATTGTGATATAAAAAACATCACTTGGATGAAACAGATCGATCAGATCAAACTAATTGTCATAAGAGAAGAAAAACTTTTGATATTTTTCAAATAAACAAAAAAAACAAATGTCAATCTCGATATTTTGGATAGGGATTGAGAACAAAGAGTTTTCGTCAAATTTCAGGAAGAATTTGTTGAAATATCACTGAAAGCCGAGCTTTGATTTTTTCCTGCATCAATTAAAAGAGAAGGAATATTTTTTTCGTATTAGGAACTAAGTTCAATGATAAATCACCGTATGAATTTTGTTTTATGTCAAATATTCGTTTGCTATGCTCCTGTGTATAGAAAAAGCGCTTCTGCCATATAAGGGCCGTTGAAGTACAACTTGGAATTGTTTCTAAATCGAGAAGAAACACGTTTGTGAAAAGCAATAGCAAGACTCATATTCTTGAATCACTAATAAATTAATCCCGAAAGATACGTGGATGGATCGAAGAATGTGTGATGGATGCCTGTTCTTCTGGAGATACTCTTTTTCTGATTGAATATCTGTTTGTATATTCAGTATTATAGCAACTCCATTAATTTGATCAGTAATTCCTCAAAGACAGACTGAGCTGAATTGACTACAAATTAAGAAATATAATTGACCGCTTGACACGGCAATATCATCCACACAGCTTATTTTGCTGTCTATTCCTTTTTCTTGTCTATTCCAGGTATCAACGATTAGTCTTTTGTTTTCTTCGCTATAAAAGATCATGTTTGTTTCTGTTTCGTTTAAAAAATGACTATGTTACATATAAACATGAATGAGAAGCGTATTGATCTTCTTGATTTGCCAAATGAAATATTATTTCTGATTCTAAGAAAACTTGAGAATGTGGATGTTCTTTTTTCCTTCATGGATATTAACAATCAACGACTGCATAGTATTATACAACACCCAATCTTCATTAACGTTTTGAATTTTGTGCCCATGCTGCAACCAAATCATTCAATGCGTTCAATGAAACTCGATCGTTTTTGCCTTTCAATATTACCAAGAATTGATGAAAATATCAAATCGCTAGTCGTTGAATCAGCTTTTATGAAACATATCCTAGGCGCTGGTAATTATCCTAATCTGACTGAACTTACGTTTTATGATATGGACAAAAAAATTGCTTCGCAGTTTTCACGGGTATGTTGTTCATGTGTTTTAATTTATTAAAAGAAAATGAACATGTTGAGAAAAAGGATGACTTAATGATATTCTATTTAGATAACTGTATGTGTAAACATAAATGTAAACAACAAATTACAAATCTCACGCTTGTGATCAATGAGAGCGATTTTCAAATCACATCAGCAGACTATACTCAGAATGTTTATTCCGTTATCTTATCTTTCTTTGTGAATCTGAAACATTTAACTATTGTTGTACAATCAATTGTAAAGTTTTACAGAACATCCCGAAATTATCCGTGTTTGTCACTACATGGATTACCGACAGAAACGTTTTATTCTTCAACACTAACGAAGTTATCTCTTAATGTAATTGATTTAAATGATGTTTATGCTTTGCTTGATGGTCATCTTAAACAACTGACAACATTTAGCGTTGAAGTTGAAGCTATACAAGATCCCGTATCGATATCTAATAACCATGTAAGTTCATCTTAATTATCATTGCCAGTTTTAACTTGTTTGGAGATGAAAAGATTTGATCAAACGCCTAGTACAGAGTGCGATTTCTGAATCAACTCATATGTTGGAATTATTCGAAAAATCTTCAAAGAAGCGATCGAATTCATTTTTGTCGATATACTTCAGTTTTTCTAACGCGTTTCAATAAGCGAACGATTACACCTTATATAGTTAGTACAGATGGGAAGTCTTCGAACATGAGCAACTGAGGTTAAGTTGATAGATTTTTCACGAAGTTTTAATAATCATCAGCATCAATTAGGTTTGGACACACTGGAATAGTGTGAAGGTTCGAATAAGTGATGTGAATAGGGGGACATTTACGAGTTACAAGTTATGTAAGTTGACTAATGTAAGGTATGGGTGCAAACATGGCTCATTCGAGAGTATATTTGTAGACGAATTTGATGTGCACGGGCAGTGTTCCAAAGATCTATACGTATGATAATCTGATCCACAATAGTTAAGCTGAACGTGTGTTCGACATATTTTGGAATATTAAATCAGTGCTGTAAAAGATCATGAAACAATTATTCTTACTGAAAAATACATTTCTCATACCAATGAAAGACATGTTTAAGGAGAAAATTTCGAAGACGAATGAAAGTGTTGTTTTTTCTTTCAGTATCAATCAATTAATTTGAAATGTTTTTCATTAACATGTTATTCTGTTCTTGCAAGATACGAATTTACTATTGTACATCTTCTTCGTCGAATGTTATGCCTTGAAGATTTAACCTTATTTCTTGATATTTCGTCACAATCACCGCTTATCTATGGTACTTATCTTACGGATGAAATTCTTTTTCCTATGTCACAACTTCAAGCATTTATATTTTGTATTGAATGTTTGGAAGACGTTCGTGGCGATGTCAGTGTTCATCCATCTACTATTGATATTCAACAAAGCTTTGCAGATTTCAAATATGGACAAGTGAGTTACATGGTGGATTATGTTTATTATCCCCCTTTATATCGTGTCTTTTCACTTCCAACTAAATTTCAGCGACTCACACGCATTACAAATAATATTCCAGATATGATTTTTGACTCAGTTACTCATGTGGAATTACATAATGAAAATGCATTTAAACATGAATTTTTCGTTCGACTTGCTAAAGCATTTCCATTTCTTAAAACCTTATCTATTCACAACATGTGGCCACCATTTCTGCGCGAAAAACAATATCATCTTTGCGATAAAGATTGGTGTTCGATGATTGAATATCGACATCTTAGTTCTCTCGATATGACAAGTGCAAATTCTTATTACCTTAAACATTTTCTTAATCAAACAAAAACACGTCTACCTTCTTTATCAAAATTAAAAGTTCACTATTATCTTTTGAAAGCTGTGACAAACAATTTTGCAAAAGAAGAAATGCGACACAATTGCTGTAGGGTAAAGCAATTAGTCACTGATTATCCAAGAACTGATTTAGAAAGTATTCTTCGTTATTTTCCTTCATTGTTAATCTGACTGACTTAACCTATTTTCTGAATAAGAATTTGTGATTCAAAAAATATGCGAAAGACTCTTTTGTCGTAACGTAAAAATGCGGGTGTCTATTTTGATCATCAAGAAGAAGACAAATTTATTCGAAGTTCTTCATTTTGATATCTAAAAAGTAAAAAACGAAATGCATCATCAAAGCAGTTTTCATTTCTTACCATATTCCGCATACAATTCCTGAATAAGTTCGAAGCTTTGCCCGATCGATTTGTTTATTCTGAGTAGATCTTTGGTTACCGCTTGAATGTCAGTAATTATGCTACTATGATTGTCCGACATTGTGAGCAAGTTCATTTCCAATTGCTTCATGAGAACCATGGTTTGTACCTTGTCGTGATAATGTTTACATAAAGTATTAATTGTTTCTCTGATCTACAACGAAATTTTGACTGTTTGCCTTTATTTGATGTTTCTTACTTGACCATTGTACAGTAATAACATGTTA